CTATGAATCGTTAATTCATTGCACACCCTCCTCCTGCACATCTACTGCTGCATAAGGGCCTTCCAGCACATTGTGGGCCACAAGGGACATTTAACCATACTTCACACCCTGATCAGTGTGGGTTGGTGCAGGTTGGTCGTGGGGGGGAGTGACCTTTGCGCACGGTGGTCACCCATGATTAGTTTACGAGATCTGACAGGATCGGGCACCTTCCACGTGGTTTGGTCATAACGAGCTTTTTTTTCGTGTATACAATTTGAAATCTGCAAGAACGTGGATCCAAGTCTCCAAATGTCCCACTCCACATCCGAGATGCACTCCCTCATCCATTGGCCATAGCGTGAACCAACTAGTGGCTGATGGGAAAAGCGTCTGCATTTTGCAGAGAGCTTTCTTTTTCGCGTTGCAAAAAAGTGGATTCCCTGAGCGGCAGGTAGGTCCTAAGGGACGCTTGGCATGGCGTTGGCAGGGGATAGGTTCTCTGGGGACGATGATTCCTGGGTGCAAATGATGGATATGAGCCCTGGGAACGAGCGCTGCTGCTCAAGAATGTGACACGGATGTGCCGGCCGCAGCGGGCTCCGGCGTGGTGAATGCGGCGCTTTATGACTCGGTCTCTCCACACACGCACGCGCACACACCGGTTAACCTATCACACACACACACACACATGGATAAACCTGGTGCACACACACACTCACGGGTAAAACCTATCACACACACATGGATACACCTGGCACAGACACATGGATACACCTATCACACACACACACATGGAAGAACCTGGTGCACACACACACTCACGGGTAAAACCTATCACACACAAACACATGGATACACCTGGCACACACACACACACTCACGGGTAAACCCTATCACACACACACACATGGATACACCTGGCACACACACACACTCACGGGTAAACCCTATCACACACACACACATGGATACACCTGGCACACACACACACTCACGGGTAAACCCTATCACACACACACACATGGATACACCTGGCACACACACACACTCACGGGTAAACCCTATCACACACACACACATGGATACACCTGGCACACACACACACACACTCACGGGTAAACCCTATCACACACACACACATGGATACACCTGGCACACACACACACTCACGGAAAAACCCTATCACACACACACACATGGATACACCTGACACACACACACACTCACGGGTAAACCCTATCACACACACACACATGGATACACCTGGCACACACACACACTCACGGGTAAACCCTATCACACACACACACATGGATACACCTGGCACACACACACACTCACGGGTAAAGCCTATCACACACACATGGATACACCTGGCACACACACATGGATACACCTGGCGCACACACACACATACTCACGGGTAAAACCTATCACACACACACATGGATACACCTGGCACAGACACATGGATACACCTATCACACACACACACATGGATAAACCTGGTGCACACACACACTCACGGGTAAAACCTATCACACACAAACACATGGATACACCTGGCACACACACACACTCACGGGTAAACCCTATCACACACACACACATGGATACACCTGGCACACACACACACTCATGGAAAAACCCTATCACACACACACACATGGATACACCTGACACACACACACACTCACGGGTAAACCCTATCACACACACACACATGGATACACCTGGCACACACACACACTCACGGGTAAACCCTATCACACACACACACATGGATACACCTGGCACACACACACACTCACGGGTAAACCCTATCACACACACACACATGGATACACCTGGCACACACACACACTCACGGGTAAACCCTATCACACACACACATGGATACACCTGGCACACACACACACTCACGGGTAAAGCCTATCACACACACATGGATACACCTGGCACACACACATGGATACACCTGGCGCACACACACACATACTCACGGGTAAAACCTATCACACACACACATGGATACACCTGGCACAGACACATGGATACACCTATCACACACACACATGGATAAACCTGGTGCACACACACACTCACGGGTAAAACCTATCACACACAAACACATGGATACACCTGGCACACACACACACTCACGGGTAAACCCTATCACACACACACACATGGATACACCTGGCACACACACACACTCACGGGTAAACCCTATCACACACACACACATGGATACACCTGACACACACACACACTCACGGGTAAACCCTATCACACACACACACATGGATACACCTGGCACACACACACACTCACGGGTAAACCCTATCACACACACACACATAGATACACCTGGCACACACACACACTCACGGGTAAACCCTATCACACACACACACATGGATACACCTGGCACACACACACACTCACGGGTAAAGCCTATCACACACACATGGATACACCTGGCACACACACATGGATACACCTGGCGCACACACACACATACTCACGGGTAAAACCTATCACACACACACATGGATACACGTGGCACGCACACACATGGGTAAACCGATCTAACAAAAAAAAAACGATTATGGATGATATTGGTCGCGAAAGCCTACGTGTTAAACACACATTTATAAACCTGGCGCACATGCACACGGGTAAACCTGGCTCCAACACACGGGTAAACCTGGCTCAACACACGGGTAAACCTGGCTCCAACACACGGGTAAACCTGGCTCAAACACACGGGTAAACCTGGCTCCAACACACGGGTAAACCTGGCTCAAACACACGGGTAAACCTGGCTCCAACACACGGGTAAACCTGGCTCAAACACACGGGTAAACCTGGCTCACACACACGGGTAAACCTGGCTCACACACACGGGTAAACTTGGCTCAAACACACCAGTAAGCCTGGCTCAAACACATCAGTAAGCCTGGCTCAAACACACCAGTAAGCCTGGCTCAAACACACGGGTAAACCTGGCTCACACACACGGGTAAACCTGGCTCCAACACACGGGTAAACCTGGCTCACACACACGGGTAAACCTGGCTCACACACACGAGTAAGCCTGGCTCACACACACGGGTAAACCTGGCTCACACACACGGGTAAACTTGGCTCAAACACACGGGTAAACCTGGCTCAAACACACGGGTAAACCCGGCTCAAAGACACGGGTAAACCTGGCTCAAAGACACGGGTACACCTGGCTCAAACACACGGGTAAACCTGGCTCAAACACACGGGTAAACCTGGCTCACACACACGAGTAAGCCTGGCTCACACACACGGGTAAACCTGGCTCAAACACACGGGTAAACTTGGCTCAAACACACGGGTAAACCCGGCTCAAAGACACGGGTAAACCTGGCTCAAACACACGGGTAAATACTCTTTGTTTTTTTCGGTAAAGTCACGTAGGTAAAAAATAAAATAAATGAAAACGGTCTCAAACACACGGATATACCTGGCTCAAGGGCCACGTTTTACACCGCTAAAACAAAAAACAATGTAAGCCGACTGCAGCGTGCATCGCATAGCTATTGTGGCAGTTTCAATCCACGCGGCGGCTTCAATGCATTGGTATCATCGTCATCATCATCAGCCATGATCAATCCACTGCTGGATCAAGGCCTCCCCCATGCCATTGCCATCTCTCATGGTTCTGCCATGTAACGGTGTTGGTAAATACGTGCCAGACGCGTTATCGTTGGTAACATATCACGTACCAGCGAGCGACACTCGGTTATGGATGCGTGCAAATGATGATATGAGTACACGCGCTCATATCAGCGTGCTGGACCCTCGACAAGCGGGAGCACTTGCTCACTCCACGGAATGGTGTTATCTTGACAGCTATCCATAACAATAGATGCCAATGTGTTGCACCGAATGTTGACGCTGACGTGGTGGTGGTGATGATGGACTTTGGCGGAGACAAGAAGCGGCACGAGAACCCCATCCAGGTGACAGCAAACCACGCAAAACATTCTGGCCTCCAAGGGCAAGTTGTTGTTCATGCCACGTGCTTTTAAATAAAGGCAATCATTTAATGTATTAAATTTACTGTGTTAGGAAAAGTATGTATACTTTTTCTGAATCAGTGATGGCTTATTTTGTGGTTGTGCCACAATTGCACCTGAACTTGTGCAACTGAATACACCTTTGCAGCTTGATTCGTGATTCGTGTAGTCCAGCTTGACTCGTGATTTTGAAGCGTTATCTTGACTGCATTCATTCCAGGTGTGCATAATGAGGTTGTCCAATTCAATGTGAAGAAACCACTCTTCATCTTCTTAAATTCCTGCAAATTATCCGCACCTTGCATTGCAGGTTTTTTTTATGTAGTGTCCGTATCATGTTGGCCAATATCATCCAATGTCATCATCTTTGGTTAAATGACCGGATCATGTGAACTCACGTCTGTTGACTGTCTAAAAATAATTGCTGGATCTTACAATTATACTTGATCTACCAGGTACCACGTAGGGATGGTACATGCATTGCTGTTAAGAGGCGAGTAACGTTTTTGCCACTTTCACCAACCCCTTATTATTATCCAGCGTGGTATGGGCAATCTACCCCAATGACGGCACACCTAAACCCACAGTTATGAGCCGGTGCTATGTGGATTGTTTGTGAAACGACAACGATTCGGTGAGGCTTTCATCCGTCAGTGGATTCACAATGGCTGATGAAGAAGATGATGGTGGTGGTGGTGGTGGTTAAATCACGGCGATAATCTTATTATGTCACGACCCACGTAGCGCATACCCGTGTCAGCCTTTTGACCAGAGACCATTGGGGGGGGGGGGGTGGAATCGGGCAAAGTGTTGAGAAGCACCCCGTTCGCACGCCGCTGTGTGACTTATGCTCGCGGGATTGGGCACCGCGGGCATATTGGCCGGTGGCAGGGGTGGGTGGGCGAGCGTTGTGGGTGTTTGTTTAGCCAGTGGAGAGTCTCACGGCCCCGGAGGGAAGTGGAGGGGGGGGGGAGAAAGGGCGTGCATCGGCGGTTCCCCGGTCCTTTGGGGGTCCCAGCCGCACCGCACAGCCGTGCCCTCTGCCGTTGAAGAGGTCCCGCGGAGGCCAAGCAGAGAGGTGCGCAGCTACGCGGAGTTGTGTCTGCGGCCGGCGGCTCACAAAGCGGTAAGTGCTCGCCCGTTTGTCGCGAACTCCCTTTCTTTTCGTTCGTTTTGTCTCGTTTGCCACCATCGTCAGCGAAGCAACACGTACCGTGCCCTGCACACCGGGTGCTTAGCGCGTATTGCGAAACCCTGGTTATTGTTAATGAGATGGCGCTTTTTGGGTGGCAGATTTGCGCCCGCCACAAAAGAGGCGCCGACGTTTTGTTCAGCAAAAAATAATATTGGCGTGAGCCAAAAAAACATTGTGGATTTTTTTTATAAGTTAATGTTTTGTGGGTATTTGCTATGATGCAGAGAACTGCTGTCAGCCACAGTCCACAATATATATATACGTTTGAAAGATTTTGAGTTGTTTTAAACAGCCTTCCTCGCATATATTCCATAGCCAACTGACTGGTGATCGACAAGTAATTATATACATCTCTGTGAGGGAAAGTGGACCTCAGCAACCACCGTGAAAAATTGATGATTCAATCCAGGCAATACCATCTTGCATTGCATATCTTTGTTGTTTTTAGATGCAAATGAGGTGTAATGATTTAAGTTATTTGTAATGCGTAGAGGGGGGGGGGCATTGCTAAATTGTAATACATTTACAACTTAGCTACATTCAACAATTCAAGAAAGCCTGGCAGATTATTCCATGACTGTAGTGTATTAATGTTCGGTACTAGTTAGCATTTTTTTTGTAATTTCATGAGTGTAAATGAAAACACATTTCATGAAAGTCATTTTAAGACCTTGTTATGGCAGAATATTCGCTCGACGTGCATTTCTTTTCTACTCGACATCCGCTGGACTATTTTTTTTACAAACATTTTCTCTAGAAATACATTTTCATATTAGCATTACTAAATGCCTGGACTGTGCTCCGTGCTGAGTTCATAATCAGAATATTTTATTTCTACTTGAGGAATCCGATGAGCTATAAAGCTCTTATTCAGATTCGTTTACAGCAATATTGTGGTGCCAACGTACTAAATACGTGTCAAATAATGTGTTTATTTAGTCGGGTGTTTATTCCCCCGCGGTCTCGTTCACCCACTACCACCGCAGCCGTCTTGACAAGGAGGCTCTTTGTGAGGGCAGAGCAGCGCCCCTGTGAAGTGGGAGAACGAGTCTCACTTGAGTTGGGACGGCTCATACTCTGTTAACTACCCTGGCATGTATTGTTATTTTAAAGCCAAAATTGCTCAATTCTGAAAATATCTCTTTAATTATTAATCGTCTCCAACTGTTAGGAGTGCAACATTGCTTGATAGCGATTTAGTTAATAGAAGTCTTCTGTTTCATTACAATATATATTGCAGTAGTTTAAAATGTTCTCTTTTGGAAAAATAATGCAGTACTGTATTAATGATGAAGTTACAAAAAATAACAATGGAAATGTGTTGACAGTTTAGTATCGATTATGTAGTTTGTCCGAGTGCTGCATGTGTAGAGTGTGAGGTTTGCGATGGGAAGCTTGAAATTTAAAACCCCAGGCATGGGTTAGCCCACCCTTCTAAGCTTTTGGAAATTTTTATTTTGCTAATGAAAAGCAACATACAGATGCGCCTTAACAAGAACGTTCGCAATCAATGCAACATTACCTGCCATGACATACGAATCGGTGGAACAAAAGCTAAAAAGTGTGCAAAGAAGCAAGGAGAAATACGTGCTGGGAACTACGTCTACTACTGAGACAGGAAAATGAACACATCACATAGCAAATGCAAATTAGAGACATTATATTCAGGGGGCTTGACGAGAACAATTCGCTTGAAGGGATGATGGCTGAGGGATGAGAACGATGATGGAATGGCTCCAATAAGAGAACCCCCGTGGAGATGAAGCGATGAGAGGAGTTCATGTGCAGGTGTGAAATAGTTTGTGGCGTAATAGAGCCGTGAGGGATCGTAATCACATTTTTAAAAATATATATACTAATTGATTTTACCATGTAAGGTCCGCTGAGCTACATAGCTCGATTTTAGAAGCCACATGCCCACCAATGATAGCCCAACGAAGGGGCTTATCACGTGGAAATGTATAGCAGCCAAATACTCTAAACGCGTGACGTTGATTCTAAATGTAAAGGGAAAACCCGAGGACCTGGAGAAAAGTCCATGCAACCACGGTAAAACACACGCAAACTCCAAATATAAAGGCGTCAGAGTCGGGATCTAACCCACTAACCTCCTGCATATCAGGCGAGGCAGATAACATCTCACCACCGCGGCGAGAGGTTATCTGAAGGCCTTTATCTAGCACTGGATAGCACTGAATAGAACAATGTGCGTCTGTGTGGCAGTCGGTGGCAGTGATATCGTGGTCAGGACAGTGCCCGACCAATCCCGTCGACCTGCGTTCGATTCTTAGCCACTGGTGACATCAGTGGCGAGTTGTTATCAGAGCTGTCCTCCCCGTACCAAAAAAAAACTTACATCAGCACTGGGTGGGGAGACAAACGTGGCACACGGGCATCGTTCTCGCCAACCCCAGCCGCTGTTTCCAACGTGCCAGCCTGAAGATTGCTTGCCCCTGGCGGTCGGTCGAGCGGCTCTCTGTGTTGGAACTCTGTCTCCGCGTTGCAGATTAGAATGACAGGCTGCGCTCCAGCCATCCTGGCCGTGTGTGCCCTGCTGTCGCTGCAGCAACGCGTTGTCACGTCGCAAGACTACAGCACAGGTCCTCGCACCAGCACTGCATGTCCCACACGCGGGGGGGGGGGGAGGACATGTTATGGCAATGCATGAATGAATAACCAGTGGAGCAATTTAAATGCCCATCGTTAACACTGCCTAAATAAATAAAAAAAATCATGGTAGGCATTTCGACTTAAAACTTTTGTGACTGCATGAATTCATATTCTTGGTTCTTTCGGTAAAGTCACGTAGATAGAAAATAAAAATAAAATACATTTTAAATTTTAAATACATTTTAATTACCGAAAGACCCAATGATATACATGGTAGCAGGTGTTTGTTTTGACCAATTGATTTTATTCACAGCATAGTGAAGCGCCATTGCTCTCCGTCGATACACCGACAGATACACATATTGAGGGAGCTGTGGCGCAGTGGTTAGCGCACTGCGCTCTAAAGCCCGCGACCCGCATTCGATTGGCAGCCATGGCTGACATCAGTGGCAAGTGATATCAGAACCAGCCCTGCCCCCACCCTCTCTCCCTTCAACATCGAACAAAGACGGTCACTGCATCGCGCGCTTTCAAATGCGTTTCTGCGGCCGTCTGGAACGCTCTTCCTTCCGACATTAGGAAGCCACTGGAGTTTTGGACTTTAAAATCTAGATTGAAAACTCATTTCTCTTGAGAATGTTGTTTGTGTTTAGTTTGTTGTCTTTCCCCAGCACCTCCGATTAGCACGGTGCGAAAGAAGTTCAACATAGACGCATGGAAACGAATAAGTGTTCCTAACCGTTGCAGCGCGATATTGCCCGATCACAGTGGAGTTCAACGACCTTCTCCATTTCATTATATTCTATCTTCCGGTGAAAGGATTCAACGTAAATCAATTTACCTCTCTGTACCTCTGCATTGGATGATGCTGTGGTGCAATGATGACCACGGTTGACTTGCAATATCTAAAAGGCCCTCGGCTCGATGCCACCTCCAGGCGTGGCAGTTGGAACAATGACACAGGTTTATTGAATCCTGCCCCCTCTGCTAAAAACACAGTATAAATGTACGTGTGTATGTTGAACTTCTTTCACACCGTACGTAGCCGGCCGTGCTCATTGAGAGGTGCGGGAAATCGGGGGGGGAGGCGCGGGATGGACACGCGACCATTTGTTGATCAGCAGGTCGTGTTTGGATGGGGAGTAAAGTGTGGGTAGGTCCGCCTCTTCCAAGACGTCTTCCCCAGCCTAGAGAGTCAGCCAAAGCCTCGAGAGAGCGGCTCTCTCTCTCTCTCTCTCGCTTCCCTCTGGTGGCGGTAATGCCACCGGGCAGTTTCACGAGCAGGAAATTTCAGGGCTGCACCTTTAAGTATATTTTTTTACTTTTAACCTCTTCATCGCAGTCTAAGCCACAGAGAAAGCACGTATTATCCCGGGAGACCATGAGCCGCCGTATCTGTTTGCATGCTGTTCCCTGCTCAACACGGAGGCTTTCGCGACCAATATTCTTCGTAAGAAACCCTCCACCACCCGACACAGCCAGGAAGGTTCGTCACGTAAACAACGCGCCAGTTAGTCACGATTACGGCCCACCGGTGTGTTGGAGAGTACATCGCCCGATGATGCGGGATGTAATTACCAGCGAAACGTCGTACTGCTCAAATTTCAAATGTGGATTTACCCTCCAACACACCGTTGGGCTGAAGTGGTAACTAATTGGCGTTTTGTTTACGTGACAAACCTTACTTGCTGTGTCGAGTGGTGGAGGGTTACGACGCATTTATACTTACGCGATCTAACCCCCACAAAAACCTTTATGGTTAATGCCGCTCTCTGTCTGCCCGTTCGCTTGTGGTGCTGTTGCTGTCACCTTCGACGCCGCATCGCAGATGGTGACAGCTCGGGCCTCGGCGTTGGCTCCGGGGGTGAGGAGCGCCCGTACCCCCCCGTGGACTGGCACCAGAGAGGGAGCCCAGACCCCAATGCGGAGAGGGCACCTGCAGGTATTGCAAAACACGGAGCGGTCAGCTTCAGACGTGTATAGAGGGAAACACCCACTGCGGTGTTTTGGGAGTGAAATACCGTCAGTATGGTGGGCAGCCTTCATTAAACGTGCAGTAGTCCGGCATGGGGTGCAGTGCGGTGCCTGTGGTGGCAGCCGGTGTGGAGAATTAACGATTATAGCCCTTTTACAGGAATGGCAATGATGTAAATAGGGTATCAGATGTCTCGACGGAGCCTGGATATGCCAAATGCTGCAACATTGTTCGCAAATATGTATACAATATAAAAGTGACAACATGTGTGGACTTGGAATTGCTGATGACAGAAATGCATCTTTTTGAAAAATATGAGAGCAGTTTTGGTGGAACACAAGATCATGGCATTGGTGTGTTTATTGTCAAGAACCAGAGCTCTTTGTCCACTGTAAAACCGAGCAGCTCCAGAATGACTGTCCACGTGCAGAAGCTGAGCCGTGCCGATGATGCCACACGCAGCAACGCATGTCGGCGACAGAGTGACGCCACGTCCTCACGGCGTATTCACGGACACGCAGTGAAAGCGTCGTTGACTCCTCTCGCCGGCCCTGCTTGGGCATGAGAGGCAACACTCAGATCGTCTCACGAGTCCAGAGTTTTATGGCTCCATTCTGGCTCGGGCTCGGCAAATTTCGCAGTTGGAAAAAACGTTCGTAGAGCAAGGGCCCCCGCGTTGGCTCAGCTCGGATGTGCCAGTGGAAAAAAGTGGCACTATTCCTCCTCCCTCCTCCTCCCCTCTCCTCCCTCCCCCTCCTCGTCCCTCTTCTTCCCTCCCCCCCTCCTCCTTTCTCCCCTCTCCTCCTCATCCCTCAACAGGCGGCCTGTGCAAAGACGTGCCGATGGACCTCGTGTTCATGCTGGACGGCTCGCGGAGCGTGCTGGCGCCCAACTTCGAGAAGGTGAAGGACTTCGTCGTGCAGCTCATCGACGCGTTCGACGTGGGGCCCTCCGCCACGCACGTGTCCGTCGTCCAGTACAGCAGCCGGGTGGAGGTCGCCTTCCCGCTCGACGCCCACCAGACGAAGGAGGAGCTCAAGCAGGCGGTGCGCGCCATCGTCTACGTGGGCGAGGGCACCGTCACGGGCGGGGCCCTTCGGCACCTGACGGAGAGCGCGTACGGCGAGGCCGGGGGCGCCCGCATCGGCGCCCACCGCGTCGCCGTCGTGGTGACGGACGGGCGCTCGGCGGACAGCGTGCGGGAGGCCGCCGGCGCCGCGCACGCCGCCGGCGTCACCGTGTTCGCCGTGGGCGTCACGGACAGCGTGGACGACGCGGAGCTGCGGGCCATTGCCTCGGAGCCGTCGGAGACCCACGTGCACCACGTAGACAACTTCGGTCTCCTGGACGAGCTGCAGCTGCGTCTGGCCAGGCAGATATGCGAGGGCAACGTGTGCGGGGGCACCGTCGGGCGGCAGAACGCGCCAGGCAAGCGCGGCCCGACCTCCCAGAGCGTGCTTGCGTCGACTGAAATAAGACGCCCGAATTCGTGATTTCATTATCTGACTTTTGAAACGGCAGTTCCCATGTACAGCCCCATAACGCGGTTTATGATGCACAGACATTGATCCGCCAGAGTGTTCCACATGCATAACCACAGCCTCAGCAGGGTGCTTGCTATTGGCTTAACCCGAGTCTAGAAATTCACCTGGCTTAGAGCATTTGAACTGAAAATAGCTCAGGTTGGGTTCACAGTATTTCTTAAATGCACTACTGCGTAGATTTTCGTGGTTGTGTTGCACATGTCTTCAATGAGTTTTCAGGATGTAAGGCGTGTTGTTCAGTACTACGTCCGAAGTTTCGCTCCATGTCCTTGGAGCTTAACCTACTTTTCCTTTATTCCTGAAGAAACTACAAGCACATGGAACGAAACGTCAGATATTAATGCCGAAACAACACCGGTACAACCCGAGAATACATCGGCGAGCCATATAGCATAACAGCAAAAACCTACATGTGTAAAAAAGATATACTGTAATTATAACACCAAAACAGAATCATTTACCCCATCACAGATTAAGGGCTCAAATAGAGAACGCTTCAATAGCCTTCCAATCATCATCATCATGATCATCCTGAGCCAATTCCAGTCACTGCTCAGTGATGGTTCCCTTATCCAGATCCTTATGACCACTAGGAAGGAACTTCTAAAAGGAGTAATGGCAGCTGTGAGTGGACTCTTAGAGACTTGCCTACCAGCCAGAGAAGGAAATTATTGTTTTCTCATACAGGCTCCATGAGCTTTGAATTACATTTATATATCACTGTGAAACCATCTGCTGGTGAGGGACAAACAGGGGTTGTGATATAACGTCAAAGCTTCGGGAGTCTTGGTGAGGGTTTCATAGGCTGTGTCCCACACCCCAGCAGTGGTAACCGGTTAGGAGAGGCACACAGCCTGTGCATTTATTCGTGTTCCACAGAAAATTGTGATATAAATCAATAAGTACGTACGCTTGCTTAACTTCTACAACTCGAAAATGATCTCGTGCCAAAAGCAGAAGTAAACAAAACTCATCACACGTCTCGTTGACACTGCCTGGTACCAGAAAAAACACGAATATTCATAATGAATACAATTATAACGCAGCATCAATATACCGTGCAATTTATGTACGATATATTTTTGTCTGTTAATAGACAATATTAGGAATAGCTTTCGTTACTGTCTCTGTTATTATTAATCGTTGACAGCCCTTTGTCACCATTAGAACCTCATTTGCCAGTAAAAAATATGATAATTGTTTTTTTACCCTTTTATCTGGCAACAAAACTGACACCTTTTTTTTTACAAGGAGTCATGTTTGCATAGACCACAATACCTGCAGTCATAATGCAAACAAAAAACATAACTCTGATAATGTATGCACTGTCCTTGAAGTTGATTGGTCCACACCCGAGACAGCTTTCCTTAGAGCCTAGTCTCACGTGGTGTTGGACCAGATGACGCCAAGTCTCACGTGGTGTTGGACCAGATGACGCCAAAAGGCGTCATCTGGTCCAACACCACGTGAGACTAGGCTCTAAGGAAAGCTGTCTTGGGTGTGGACTAATCAACTTCAAGGACAGTGCATACATTATCACAGTTATGTTTTTTGTTTGCATTATGACTGCAGGTATTGTGGTCTATGCAAACATGACTCCTTGTAAAAAAAAGGTGTCAGTTTTGTTGCCAGATAAAAGAGTAAAAAAACAATTATCAGCCCTTTGTCATTTTACCACTGGATGAAGGCCTCCACACGCTGGCAAAGCCAAGTCGCCAGGTTTACAATGACTGCAGTGTGCCAACCACTGTGCCACTGCTCCACTCAATCTCCAGTTACCGTTGGATATTCACAATCAAACAATTTAATTTAAAAAAATTTGACTGGCTGGCTATTTACATGATGATGTCCCGCAGTATTGAATCGCGCCAACAGCGGGTTAGTGCGTGATGATGTCCCGCCTCCTCATCCACCCCGGCCGTGTCTCCCACATAAATGCACAGGCAGTGCTCGTCATGCAACAACTCAAAATAATCGTGGCTGGCTGCTGACAGGGCTCCTCTCCACCCCAACAGTAACTCCGTCGTTGTTGTTGTTGGTAGTGGCTGCTGAGTGCAGTTGCCACCGAAAACTAACTGGGTAACTGGCTAAATGGGAATTTCCATCGAACGAATGAACATTGAATTCGAATGAAATGGCAGAAGACATTTCAAAGGCATATTATAGATAGCGACACTGGAGAAAGTTGGAGTGATGAATGCACAAGACAGGGTTCAATTTAAACTTGCTAACTTTTGCATTTGTAGTCCTAGTAATGCATTTCTTTCGCCGCAATTCTTTAACCCGTATACAACTTTTTTTTGAAACCACACAATAACTATATTATTTTATATTCTTTGGGTCTTTCGGTAAAGTCACCCCCATTTCCTGATGACGACCGCCTGTGTTGCGATCGAAACGTCGTAGTTTTTTGTTATTTTCTTTGAACCGATCTACGTGACTTCACCGAAAGACCCAAAGAATATAAATTCCTGCAGTCACGAAAGCTTTAAGTCAAGACAATAACTAGATTATTTTGGCATTTCATAAAAATCTCATGACTTGTAGTGCTCCAAGCATAGCATTTCAGCAGCGGACAAGTGCTGTGGCAAATGTTATTCACTTGCTTGCGCGCGTTTGTCTTTTAAATGCCTTCTGTCAGCATTGTCTGCTCCCCTCTGCCACCGCACCGCCACTCACACACATGCGCGCACGCACACATGTGCACACACATACACACACATACACACGCACGTACACACACACGCACACATACACACACGCGCGTACACACACATGCGCACACGCACGCACATACACCCACGCACACGCACACATACACGCACACACGCGCATACGCACACATACACACACACGTACACACGCACGTACACACGCGCACACACACGCACATACACACGTACACGCACATACACACGTACACACGCACATACACACACACGCTTACATACACTCACACATACACACACACGCACACACACATACACACACACACGTACACACACACACACGCGCATACACACATACACACACACACGCACGTACACACGCACGCGCACCAGGCTTCGACCTGCTGGAGGATTTCAACCACCTGACGTCGCTGCAGCTGCCCGTGGTGGACGGCACGAGGCCCGAGGTGCAGTCTCTGCGGTTGGGGCCCGACAGCGACCTCAAGCAGCCCGACGAGGTGATTGACCCCCGACCAGAGGCGTAGCTGGGGGGGGGGGCAGGGGGGTACATGTGTCCCCGGGCGCCAAGGTAAAGGAGATCGCCATAATGAGGCTTACAACGTTACATTATTATTTCGATTTAAAGCTTTCGTGACTGCAGGGATCCATCTTCTTGGTTCTTTCGGTAAAGTCACGTAGAAGGGAAGCAATAAAATAATAAAAATAAAACATAATAAAATAAAATAATTCTCACGACGTTTCGGCCACAACGCAAGCAGCCGTCCTCATTCTTCACCTGAGGACGGCTGCTTGCGTTGTGGCCGAAACGTCGTGAGAATTATTTTATTTTATTATGTTTTATTTTTATTATTTTATTGCTTCCCTTCTACGTGACTTTACCGAAAGAACCAAGAAGATACATTATTATTCTTAGGTTTTTTTCGGTAAAGTCACGCAGGTAAAAAAATTAAAATTAATAAAAATAAAATAAAATAAAAATCACGACGTTTCGATTGCAACACAAGCAATTATCATCAGGTATAAATGAACTAGTTGCATTATAACTTATTGCGGCGGGCGCGGCAGCCTGAAACTTACTGCACGAATCTACACCTCGACCTAAAAGTTTATATATCCCGCCACACACAGCCTACGTGTCATGTAATTACATTTTGGTATGTGATTAAACGGGGTGGGGGGGGGGCGGATTTTATAGTTCGTCCCCGGGCGCAAAATATCCTAGCTACGCCACTGGCCCCGTCCGTTCGCGTTGGTGGAGTTCTGTGCTGTGATGAGAGTGGAGGGAAGTTAAAAGCGCAGCCCTGCAATACCCCCCCCCCCCTCCGATGCAAGATACTACTGTGGTCCCCCCTCTCCTCCTATCTCCCGACTCACTTTTACTGAAATAGCTACGGATGGTTTTTGACCCCCACGCAACAATATGTAGGCTATAGCTAACATGTTAGTTGCACCATGTATTGGATTTAGACGAAGACAGTCTCACAGTGACAGTATTAATAAAAAAAAATGTAAAGGTACAAGACTATCTTCTTGGTTCTCTCGGTAAAGTCACGTAGAATGGAAATAATACAATAATAAAAAATAAAACATAATAAAATAATTCTTACGACGTTTTGGCCACAACGCAAGCAGCTGTCCTCAACGTCGTGAGAATTATTTTATTATGTTTTATTATTTTATTATTTCCATTCTACGTGACTTTACCGAAAGAACCAAGAAGGTACAATTCTACTCACAATTGTATTGGAGTGTTGTGTTTGCATTGACCGTGTTTGTCCAGGATTCATCGCGCGTAAACACTGCACGATATTCAGTCGACCAAACATCCCAATGTATGTGTATGTTGAACTTCTATCGCACCGAACGTAGCCAGCCGTGCCAATCAGGGTGGTGCTGAAAAAAATTAAGCCCGAGAAGAGACTCATTGGCGCTCTCCTGGGCAAGTGTTGTGCGACGATTCCTGACATAAAAGCCTCACCGAGTCTCCACAATCGTGTTCTGCAAGCTTCTGCTTCTTGAGATGATTGACCACCTAATTTTTGAAAAAAACATTAATCTTGATTTGAAGCTTTCGTGACTGCAGGAATCCATACTCTTTGGTTCTTTCGATAAAGTTACGTAGGTAAAAAAATAATAAAAAATAATATATCACGACGTTTCGATCGCAACACAAGCTTGCGTGCGGGGATGGAATTCCTTTCACCACATATATAACGCATGGTTGTAACAGCTCTCTCGCTGTGTTCTTCATAGTTCAGCAGTTCCACTGCTGGATTCTTTCTTTCCGCTTGTGTTGCAATCGAAACGTCATGAAATATTATTTTTATGTTATATTATTTTATTTTTATACCTACGTGACTTTACCGAAAGAACCAAAGAGTATAACAAAACATTAAGCACGTGGGAAGAAACTATCCCACGAGAAATGCCAAACAGGTAAAAAGTGTAAAGCAAAGGAAATCAATATCCAGTACAAACACGGCTACTACCCCCACCCACTCAAAAATATAATACCAGCCTCTGGAGCCCCATCAAACTTAACCCGGCCCTGCTCACCATCGCCACGCAGGAACTTCCACCCCAATGGCCTTCCCACGGACTTCTCCATCATCTCGACGTTCCGCATGCTGGAGGAGACACGGGAGCAGGCGTGGGACCTGTGGGTGATGCGCGACTCGGCGGGCAAGGAGCTCGCCGGGGTGCGCCTCTACGGGGAGGCCAACTTTGTCGAGTTCTTCTCGGCGGGCCCGGACGGAACCGTGAATCGCGCCGCCTTCCAGGCCGGCTCCGAGAAGCTCTTCGACGGCCTGTGGCACAAGCTGGCGCTCAGCGTGGGCGAGGGTCAGGCGACGCTGCTGGTCGACTGCCAGCAGGTGTCGCGGGCCGAGCTGCGGCCGCGCATGTCCGTGGGCGCGCAGGGCTCCACCACGGTGGCGCAGAGCATCAAGGACGACTCCACGGTCAAGGTACGGCCAATGGGAGAGGCGCGGAGTGAAGGTGAAGGCGCAGCCCTGCAAGTACCACCACCCACCCACCCTCACCCCGGGCCATCATCCTGCCCCCTATGTGGTCCCCCCCCCTTCCTCCTTTCTCCCGATTCACTTATACTGAAATAGCTACGGATGTTCTTTGGGTCTTTCGGTAAAGTCACGTTGATAGAACAATAAAGTAATAAAAATGTAACTAAAAATTAAGTGAATAAAACAAAATATCACGACGTTTCGATCGCAACACAAGCAATCGTCATCGAGTGAAAAAAGAGGGGGGAAAGCTGCAGAGGCAGGCTGTTTGTTTTAACCCACACACAACAATATGTACTGCAATAACTATATATATTGTAGTTGCACCGTGTATTGGGTTTGGAGGAAGACAGTTTCGCAGTGACAGTGTTAATATAAACAATATTTAATGTTACAATACTACTCACAATTAAGTTACCACGCGACTTTATTTCACGCCGGCCCCATGGGTCTAGGATTTCCTCAAAGGGGGATCGTGCTACTCTGTGCTGCTCCATTGATGTAATCTTCAGATTATTTAATCGGGAATGGTAGACAGCAGGTATTTTTTGTGATTTTTTTCCAAAAATGTTTTTTTAATGGACTACTTTGTTTAACATGTCGGCTTTCGTGACCGATATCATCCATAATAGAGGTTTTTTTGGGTTAGATCTCGTTGGAGAGCCAAGCCACAACATTTATAATCTGAGTATGACGTTTGGGGCTTGGCTCTCCAACACACCGGTGTGCTGTACTCGTGACGAATTGGCACGTTCTGTTTACGTGACAACCCTTACTCGTTGGCTGTGTCGGGTGGTGGTGGGGTTTATATATTTACGCGATCTAACCCAAAAAACCTCTATTATAAATTGACTACTTGTTTATTTGTTGATTCGGGCCCTCTCTTGTGGCTGACTGGGCCCCAATGCTGCATGCCCTTCCCTGCCCCTCCACTCGAGGGAGCTCTCTCGAGAGAGAGAGTGTGGTTCAGATACCACTCGGCAGCGAGATGTCAACTGCCCCGCTTGGTACACATGAGGTCGTGGGCTCGATCCCGACCCTTACGCCTGTATGTATGGAGTTTGTATGTTCTCCCTGTGTTCGCGTGAATGTTTCTCTGGGTTCTCCAGGTTTTTCTTCTCCACATTTAAAAACATGCTTTTAAGAGTACTTCTCTGTTATAAATGTCAACATCACACGCCACTTCATTGAGCTATCATTTGTGGCCAGGTCGCTTCTGAAAAGTTATATACTCAGTGGGCCTGAACTGATAAAATTAAAAGTTTAGTTTAGAGTGTCCCTCCAGAGGGAATTTTTGTTCGACTCTTCCACGCAGGCCACATGCATTGGAAGAGGTGAGAGTGCCCACGCTGTATCCCCACCGCATGCAACCTGCCCATCGACTAATTGTGGGTTTTCCCATTCAGAGTGATGGGTTATAACGTGCCCATTGTTTCGAACGCTGTGCCCAGAGATCGAACCAGCGAGCTCTGGATTGCAAATCTGCTTCACGTTACAACACAACGGCAGGATCCCTCCGAAGTAGCAATTTTGAACAATGACACACATTTCGTGTACAGAATTCAGGGGAGCGGTGGCTTAGTAGTGGTCAGAGCGAGCCAAGTTCCATTCCCGGCCATACACCCAACGTTGCTGGCGAGTGGACATATGAACCGAGTCCTTGACGGTCCCACCTTCAGCAAACGTGCGCTGTCCAGCGTGGTGAAGTTTGCTTTGGCAACCCCCCCCCCCCCTGGCCCACCCCGTGGCCGACACGGTGTGGAGAGACCTTAATCCGGCAGTGCGTTGACAAGGGGCTGTAAATTAAAACCTCGTCACAGGTGCAAGTGGCGATGCTGTACGAGGCAACTATTCAGACATCACAACGCTGATGATGATGAATGAATTAATGCCCCGTAATGTGTGAAAATCGTGGGATGCAGCAGCTAGCGGGAAGGGGAGATCACGTGATGATTTGAGAGAGTGGAGAGATGGGAATATTGGTGATTATAATCTTGAGAGAAAGAAATACTTTAGTCTGCAGCATAATAGAGGAAGTAAAGGACTGTCAGATGCTCACACAGCCTTGTGGACAAGGTCAGCTGGCTAGCACAGCAGTACAGTAAACGTGCTGTAGTCATTATATGCATGTTGAACTTCTTCCACACCGTACGTTGCCAACCACACTAATCAGAGGTTCGGGGGAAGGACAACAAACTAAACACAAAAAGCAGTTCTAACGAAATGAGTTTTCATTCAAGATCTAAAAGTGCACAGCTCCAGTGGCGTCCTAATATCAGAAGAGCGTTCCAGAGGGCCGCAGAAGCGCATCTGAAAACGCAGGATGTGGTGACCGTCTTTGTTCGACGGCCAGCCAGGATGACCGGAGTGAATTGGATGTGATATTTCATGTTTTTATTTTATTTGATCATCTCTCCACCGTAAGAGTTCATGCCGTGCAAAAATAACCTCTTTCAAACACCATGTTTACTGCATCCACTTCATATCCATGGCCGCACAGTCCCAGGTTTCGGTGGTCATGACTACATGTGTCTTGGGAGCTTCATCTCATGAACATCTAAACCAAGTTACAATTCTAATACCATTTCTCGGCATCGGATTTATCTTTACCGTATTATTTTGACCATAAACGAGAGCTCGAGAGACGTGGAAAGTCTCATTTGCAAGATATTTAAACGGTGGCTGCCATTCTGAGCCCGATTACGACGAGTTTGGCTCATATTTAATTTTATCATCGTAACAAAATGTAGAATTTAATCAAAAATAATGTTGGGACTGCTTTGCATTTTCAATCATCATGAGCCGTTGTTGGTTGAAGGCCTGCCACAACCATGCCAGTTATAGGGTGTATTTGACCATACTGATCCATGCTGGTCTCTGTGGGTTGGTAAAAGGGTGGAGTGGCCCCGCGTCAGTTCACCAATCACTCGCCACCGATGTCAGAGTTGGATTATTTATTTGATTGAATTTAATGCTTTTTTTCAACACAAGCTGCACTTAAAAAAATGATGCCTTGAACTAACAATCACATCCACGTGTGTGGTTCTGTCCGCTGTGCAGATTGACATCCAGCAGTTGCAGATTTACTGTGATGCGGAAAAGGCAGCGACTGAGACCTGCTGTGAGCTGCCCTCTGTGGTGAGAGATTCAACCACCAATCTTGACTCATCCCAGCATCGACGCATCAGCGAAAAACACACACATTCCGCTTAATAGAAAGAAAAAAACGTTACCGCGCAGTACTGTGCAATGTCACGTATACAACTCACCGGGGACTAAGAAATACGCTGGAATGTTCCTTCCACCCCCCCCCCCCTCTACGTGAGAGTAGCAAGCCCAGGTGCTCTCTTCAGGTCCCTGATCACGAGGGTGTTAGTGACTCGCTGTGCCAATCGCGCGTTTTCTTACACGCCGTCTCGCCCTGCCCTCTGATACTCTTCGGGTATATCCTTGGCTGTTTAAAAACGATGGAGGGGGGGGGGGGACGATTATGTATAACAAATAATAGACAAGCGGATATGTGAAAATATCGGGTATTTGAACGTGTAAAGAGAATGACAGTCACGCAACGCGCAACTACTGCACTGGCAGTGGGTGGTTGTCGCTTTAAGATGTTCTCCGTTCATATTTTGTTTGTTGCGGTTGCACCCGACTTAAGAGCCGCATGGCTCACAGGGCTACACCAAATAAATGAAACTTGAAACTTTAATTGCTCAGGGTGGATACTCATCGGTGGGATATGCGACGGGAAGCTGCTGTAACCTTAAACAAATATTTTTGAGCACATGTACAGCTTTCAAATGCAAATTACAACTTACCCAGCTGCATTTCGATTTAAAGCTTTCGTGACTGCAGAGATTCATCTTCTTGGTTCTTTCGGTAAAGTCACGTAGAATGGAAATAATAAAATAATAAAAATACAATATCATAAAACAATTCTCACGACGTTTCGGCCACAACGCAAGCAGCCGTCCTCAGGTGAAGAACAGGTCTGTCGAGACTCTGTCTTCTCGACAGACCTGTTCTTCACCTGAGGACGGCTGCTTGCGTTGTGGCCGAAATGTCGTGAGAATTATTTTATGATATTTTATTTTTATTATTTTATTATTTCCATTCTACGTGACTTTACCGAAAGAACCAAGAAGATTACCCAACTGCAGTTTTGTTACTGAAGTTTGATGGGAATTATTCATGAGGCCGCAATGTCAAACATCACAGTGGTTCTTTGTTTCTCTAAGACCTCGACATGACCTCCACTCAAACATGTGTGCCAGCTGACTATAGCGTCCTTTATTCTTTGCCGTAAAAAACTAAAGTGAATAATAATACTGCTTCCTAACAAAAAATATACTGTCTAGGAGTCATCTGCCTATTCTAATGTAGCTTATATAAGTACAGTAGCAACACATTGTAATAATGTGATAGAGCCACTCGTGCTCATTTTGAAAAGTGTGAATTTTAATTTGTATCTGTTCTTTGTTTGCGTTTTCATGCAACACAGGATGACGATCGGGTAAGTTTTTTTTTATAATCTGTATTTAAACTGCTTTAAAATAAATATAATGTTATGCAAGGCAATCAGTAAACTGTTATACAGCAGATTAAACATCCACTAAAACGTAGCTTTCACAAGGGTGTGTGTTGGTGGCTTGCTCTGCTAACTCCCTGTTTTATTAAATCGCTCTTTGAGACTCACTTATTTTTAATGGCCTTGTTTTGGTGCTAAATATTATTGCCGTGAGCCTGCGTGTGTCTCCTTGTCTTGTACAGCGCCTTGTGATCTTTGGGTGAAAGGCACTTTAGAAGTGTAAAATATTATTGAAACAACAAGGTGTAGACACTACGGATGTTTGCCAAAGCAAAGAGAAGCAGAGCTCCATTCTGTGTCTCCACATATACATAGGTAAATCATCGTAATAATAATATTGGCTTTCTAGACAAATATCCAGCAGCATTTGTTTAAGCAAGCAAGCTCTCGACTGGCTTCAAATGGCTGGGTCCTGTCAGCAGAGTCAGGCTTTTTAAACAAACGCTTGCTTGTACGCCAGATATTATGAGCAACAGGACTCCCATTTAATCCATCGGGTCCTATTCAATGCAAAAACAGCAAAGGCGTCACATTTCTACCCTGTACTTAATTAGGATGTGTTCCGCTATTGGGGCAAAAACGTTTAGCCAAACGATGTCCGATGGAGAATAAGACAAAGGTGACACTCGCGAATGTACAAAACGTCTCATCATTCCCGCCCGCACATTGTTGGGTGGCACGGTGGAAAGATGTTAACTACCTCGCCTGGTATACAATAGGTCGTGGATTCAATCCCAACCCTGACGCATGTATACTTGAAGTTTGCATGTTCTCCCCGTGGTCGCTTGGATTTTTCTATGGGTCCTCCGGTAATTCCCTCCACATTTAGATTCAACATGTGTTTAGGGTATTTGGGTGTTATAAATGTCCACATGATGATAAGCCACTTCATAGCGCTATCATGTGTTTAGGGTATTTGGGTGTTATGAATGTCCACATGATGATAAGCCACTTCGTAGCGCTCTCATTTGTGATCGTCAGGTCGCTTCTGAGAAAGTGCTATCTGCATAGCTCAGTGGGCCTTACAGCTGGTAACATAAATACAAAAAATTCTAGTATTTTTTTTTCTAGATTTTGTTAAATTTCGATTTAAAACTTTCGTGACTGCAGGGATTCATCTTCTTGGTTCTTTCGGTAAAGTCACGTAGAAGGGAAATAATAAAATTATAAAAATAAAACATAATAAAATAATTCTCACGACGTTTCGGCCACAACGCAAGCAGGCGTCCTCAGGTGAAGACCAGGTCTGTCGGGGAGACAGCGTCTGAATTCAGGAGACAGCGTTTGAATTCAGACGCTGTCTTCTACGTGACTTTACCGAAAGAACCAAGAAGAGGTATTTTTGATAGTTTAGTTCACACCGATCGTGACCCACACGCGCGCGCACGCACGCTTACCGCCAGTGTTCGTCGGTGCTCGGAGTGACGCTGTCGCCACCGGAATCGCTCACACTGGGATACGAGCCCGAGGACGAGGACAGCAGTGACGGTGACTGCGCTTGCTCCTACGGGGACTCGGGCCTTCCGGGAACGCCCGGCACTCAGGTGGGCAACGTTCGTTTTTGTTGCAAAATCAGAATGGGAGGTTCGTTTTTCCCGCCGTGTAAAAATCCACATTGAGTCAGGCAGCTCTTTTACAACGGGGGGCGACTCGGCCGGCGGACAACTTGAGAGCGATCCACAATTGCAGATTCCAACAAACTAAAAAATCGAGCTTAAAATAACGGCAATTGTGTTGTCAAATTGCGTTCACACTTAGAATGTTGGGGATTTTTAACGGAGCCGGTTTAAATGAGGGACAGAGATGGCGGAATGGAGATGCCGAGAGACGAAACTTAGGTGGTTCCAAAACGTTCACCCGATGTAAGAACCCAAGAGGGCAGGATAGTCAAGCAAAGTCGATTTGATTTTTGCTCACACACGTGACGCCATTCTGGCACAAAATCTGCCGCTCATTAAGCGCCATTAGATTCCTACTCAGACAATGCAATACAGTGAGGAGAAAAAATAATACGTGTTTATACTATCTATAGCCAGCCTCATTTGCAAGTAATAACCTGGCAAGTGAGCAGAGGGAGTTGTGCAAGTCTGTTCAGGTGGATAATGCGATGTGGGTAGAGAATATTTAATGTCATAATTAATACTAATAATGTCACACTTATATTACGCCTCACCTTGAACAATCACTCAAAGATACACTCATGCATCATTGTACTGAAATGTAATGTTTATCATGCAGCATTCAACCATTTACCACACTTCATTTTCACGTAAGCCTTTTAATAAGCCTTATACTTGCCATCATGCTGTACCCAAGTATATATCATGTAGCATTCAACGATTTAGATGAGCATTCATGCTAATTTTGAATTTTACTTTGCAACATTTCTGTGCTTTGAGATCTGAAGTAAAAAAGCAGTAACACAGGGGCATGTGGCCAAAGCTGTAATCATTGGTCTGTCCATTCGAACCACATTATAATTGAGTCGTGACTCTCACATTCTTAACACAGCTCATATCGTTAATATATGGCAATGTCTGTTGCATATGTAGATATACACATTAAGCACACGTGACACAGTCACCGAGAGGAGGGGAAACGAATGATCATCAATTATCTTGAGGTAGGAAGGCCAGGAGATGTTAAATGGCATGGAGAGCCCCATCTCGACCTTCAGTCCTGAGATCAGCATAGGATTCAATGCTTACTCTCTTTGGGTCTTTCGGTAAAGTCACGGAGATAGAAAAATTATTTTAAAAATCACGACGTTTCGATCGCAACACAAGCAATCGTCCTCAGGTGATCATGTTTTTTTCACCTGATGACCATTTCTTGTGTTGAGATCGAAACGTCGTGATTTTTTAAAATTATTTTTCTACCTACGTGACCTTACCGAAAGACCCAAATAACATGAATTTCTGCATTCACGAAAGCTTTAAGTCAAGATTCAATGCCTGTACTGCAATAACACATACGCGCTTCCCTGTATTGGTGCGTGCGTGTGTGTGTGCGTGTGTGTGTACGTGTGTGCGTGCGTGTGTGTGCGCGTGTATGTGTGTGTGCGCGTGTGTCTGCGTGTGTGTGTGCGCGCGTGTGTGTGTGCGCGTGTGTCTGCGTGTGTGTGTGCGCGCGTGTGTGCGTGTGTGTGTGCGTGTGTGCGCGTTTGTGTGCGCGTGTGTGTGCGTGTGTGTGTGTGCGTGTGTGTGTGCACGTGTGTGTGCGTGTGTGTGTGTGCGCGTTTGTGTGCGCGTGTGTGTGTGCGTGCGTGTGTGTGCGTGTGTGTGTGTGTGCGTGTGTGCGCGTGTGTGTGCGTGTGTGTGTGCGTGCGTGCGTGTGCGTGCGTGCGTGCGCGTGTGTGTGCGTGTGTGCGTGCGTGCGTGTGCGTGCGTGCGTGTGTGCGCGTGTGTGTGCGTGCGTGTGTGTGTGCGTGTGTGCATGTGCATCATCACAGGGAGAGAAAGGGTGGGCGGGTGAGACTGGCGACGTGGGAAGGGTCGGCAAGATGGTGAGTATCGCTCAGGGTTCCACTCCGTTCGCCTTTCAAACATCGTGAAAAGCATTTGGCAGCTGGGGCCAGTCGGGTCCATAGGGGGGTGGGGGGGCTTGTGTCGTGATGACCCACTTGAGAAAAAAAAAGAAAATGGGATAATGCTAAAAAATCGCCAAAAAAATAATGCTTGCACGGTTTAAAGATTTACAAACGGTTACATCCGAGACTGGACAACGTATGGTGACTGCTTGTCGCTGGAAGTAACGCAGATCGGACCTCCGCACCCCACAAGCACACTCACTCAGCGGCCGCCACCAATCAAAAGCACCTCCTCAGGTAACGCGGTTGTTATTCTGGTAAGATGTGTCGACAGTAGGTGGGCTAATTGAGCCGACAAATAAAATTCGTAGGAGAGGAGACGACGCGACACTCTGTGACTGTTTTTGTTCTTCTGTTTTGGATGGCAGGGCCTGCACGGGGCCCCAGGAATCACAGGGCGAGGAGGAGAGGCAGGGCTCTTGGTGAGGAGGAGGAGGAGGCTTCTACACTTCAATGGCACTGAAAACTATTATTTGAAGGAACGAGCCACGTGAAATAAATACAAATTGTGTTTAGGTTTTTTCTATTTATTTAAATGTGAATACTGTTTCTTGGACTCTATGCAGGAATCGTGTTCACGCCATAGAGAGTGGAACGATCCACAGGCCCTCTCCCACCACCTATTGGAGATGAAGCTACTTTCTGTGAATGGTAGCACCTCTGTTGGCTCCAGATGTATGTATGTTGAACCTCTTTCGCACCGTATGTCGCCAAACGTACTAATCGGAGGTGCGAGGGAAGGACAACAAACTAAACACAAAAAGCAGTTCTAATGAAATTAGTTTTCCATCTAGATTTGAAAGTGCATAGCTCCAGTGGCTTCCTAATATCGGAAGGAAGAGCGTTCCAGACGGCCGCGGAAGCGCATATGAAAGCTCACGATGAGTTGACCATTTTTATTCGATGGTTAGCCAAAAACGGATGCCAAAATGACCGGTTGCATGATGGTTTATGCTCCTTGACGTGATCAATGAGGTATCGTGGTTCATTTATGGCAATAACTTTGTGTGTAATGAGTGATGTGTATCCCCATTACGTACGGTGTATATGTATCAAAAGATGTCGATGTATCTGTCGTGAATGCAAGAACTGATATTGATCAAAGAATTGTTCCACATACTTAAGAGATCGTATTATTATAAAATTTGCTTTTAGAGCGATAAGAGGAAATGAAGCAATGATCTGCAGCCAAAAAAAATAGCTGCAGAGAAATTTAAATTATCTTAGCATCTCATGCGATTTTCTTGCGTAATGTTTTGGATGTAAACGCGTCGCCTCCTAGTGCTGTCACCTTAAGAGACTTCAGAAGTAGTTCTGCGACAGCTTCTTCCGCAGACGGAACGCACCGCTCTGCGGAGTCGCGAATGGACGTGACACCGCCGACCAGACAGACAGTTTGAGATAACATTGTGGGAACAAAGGCAAAATTAGAAGAAGAAGAAGAATGCCGTCGATGGTGATGGGGCGTGGTGTTTGTTTATATGCACAGGGCGTGCCGGGAGACAAAGGAGAGAAGGGCAGCCCTGGACAGTTGGGGCCTCGGGTGAGTGCAGTACAACCTCGCAGTGCATCCACTCTCATCACGAACACCTGGAGAGGACTCGAATAAAACGGTCGCCTCTGCTTACCCAAGGCTGTACAACGTCTGGCATTTCACGCGGGTCGTTTATTGTTGTTGCATCGGTAGGGGTGTCAAAAAAATGATTGCCATACCAACACCAACAGCAACATGTATCATTCATTGATGCTGTGCCACTGCTTGTTTTTGTTTACTTCGCCTTAGCTGTGCCCTCCTGATTTGCCATGGCCACACTTGTGTTGAGACGTGAAAGGGTTTTTGTGTGTGTGTGTGCTGTCTTGTTCAGGGAGAACTGGGACCTTACGGCAACACAGGGCCCCAGGGACACACCGGCGTCAAGGCAAGTGTTGGATTGCCCAGAAGCACAATCTTTATAGTAGAGCTGAGCTTTCCAATTATTCCACTGATTCAATCATTGGGGGGGAAAAAAGTTGCACCACCCCCTGCCCAACCGTTCCAACGTGTGCCCCTGGACTGGAGGTGATGATGGGCGAGGCTTGGTGACATCATCAACAACATGAGCCACGCCAATCCGGGCATGGGATTTAGAGGGGTTCTTGCCTTTGGAAAGAGGCTACCTTGGTATTTAAGTTTTTTTTGTCAAGTACATCAACTTAAGCAATAAATATTCCCTAGAGACCGATTGTAAATGTATACTTTGAAATTGCTAAGCATATGCAGGACAATTGTTGCTAATATATGATCATTCCCGGTTTGACAATAGCAGCACTTGTTATATTTGACCCTGTTTTATGTATGGTGAACTTCTTTTGCACCGTACGTAGCCAACTGTGCTATTCGGAGGTGCGGAATATCACCGTCATGAATATGCATTCGTTTATAAATGTGACAGACATTTAACTGATGGGTTCTTTTGTTTTTCTAGGGCTTCATGGGGTCCCCAGGCCAAGATGGTTTGCCTGGTCGCAAAGGAGACAAGGTGGACACCCAAATACATCAAGATGATTCATCACACACACACACATGTCGCCGCCACTTTGCACCACACCTGCAGTGAACAGCGGCGCTGCTGCTCGCCCATTGGGGGCCCTAAGCAGACATTCACTTTGGGGGCCTCCTCCTTTAAATTCGTAAAATTCTAGCGAGAGGACGGACGAGATGTAGATACGATAAATGATCCTCATGGCGGTACCCCGGGGTACCAAATAATACAGAATGGCCGAGGCAATTAAATATGTTCTTCTTGGTTCTTTCGGTAAAGTCACGTAGAAGGGAAGTAATAAAATAATAAAAATAAAACATAATAAAATTATTCTTACGTGGTGTGTAGTGTTGTGTTGCACAACACAACACACCACGTAAGAATAATTACTTACGTGGTGTGTAGTGTTGTGTTGCACAACACAACACACCACGTAAGAATAATTTTATTATGTTTTATTTTTATTATTTTATTACTTCCCTTCTACGTGACTTTACCGAAAGAACAAAGAAGATTAATCCCTGCAGTCACGAAAGCTTTAAATCAAAATTTAATTAAATATGTTATTTCTGGGGTACCAATCGTTCCGAAATCAGTGCTACTCCGCGATGTTGAAACGCAGCGAGGACGATTGCGCTGAAACCCTGAATGCTCGTAGGCACCGTAGTGGTGCATCGCGTACAGCTCGTCGAGATGAGTCGATTGCCGCATCGCCGACCATCAACAGACTAAAAACGACTGCATCGCGGACATTATGCGAGAGCCTATGGCACCCCGGGGTACCGCCATAAGGTTCATATATAGATGTATTGAGATCAGACAAATGTCAACAAAAATAGAGATGTAGTGAAATCAGAGAATGAGGGATGTGGATGAGACAAAGATGACAGAAATCGATTCTGTCGTTGAATTTGAGCTGATCCATGGTGCGCCCCGATTTTTTCATGAATCCAGAGCCACTTGAGCCTCTTTGCTGGGTTTGCTCATTATGCCTTACACCATCACCGAGCAAACATCCATATGGACACAGCCAACTTAATGTCACTCGCACGCAATGTATAGCGAACACAGTGTTGCAACTTACATTTGCATAATAACCAAAAGCAATCAAACAACGATGAACATCTTTGCAAGAATAATTGCACTGTGCATGATCGTCCTATTTTTCTACTGATTACAAATTTGATGGTGAAACCCCCAGCTTTACTGTGCAATCCTCAATCTCAAACCCGCACACACACAAAGTGCATCCCTTAAAAAGGCGCCGTTCACATGCATGTGTTTTTTTATTTTTCAGGGAGACATTGGATCATCCGGAGATTATGGCATTCCTGGATTTTTAGGAGTAAAGGTGAGATACTGAAGATTCGTAAAACATTAACAAGAGGTGATGCTTTCCAATGACTGAATTTTTTTTCGTGTAAGTTTAGAACACCTAATAATCATCGTTGCAAGTTGCACAGAATGCTGCTGATGCTTGTTGTACGACGTGTTACGCATGCGCACAGGGCTTCAGGGGTAACATCGGCAAGCAAGGACCGAGGGGCCCGTTTGGACCGCCGGTAATCCAGCTCACTGCAAACATCCCTAAAGCGCACGCGCGAACTTTATATCGTCGCTTCAAACTGTAAATAACGGGAGTCGACAGCACGGCTTTCTCCTGTAAAGAGAGAGAATGGTGATGGCAGTAGATCATCTTCTTGGTTCTTTTGGTAAAGTAACGTAGAAGGGAAATAATAAAAATAAAACATAATAAAATAATTCTCACGACGTTTCAGCCACAACGCAATCAGCCGTCCTCAGGTGAAGAACAGGTCTGTCGGAAAGACAGCGTCTGAATGAACACCACCAGGCTTGGGAGCGTATATTTAAGCTGGGTTGGAGGGGGAAGAGCGCCTTGACAAAGGCAGATCACTTCCCGTGGCGGAGCGCCAGAGTTTTTGTGTTGGCAGGCACTACCTTTTTGGGATAATTTACAAAATACAAAGATCCCCCGTATAGCCTTAACAGAGTGTTGGGCAAAGTGCTGTTAGCGAGTGCCACCTACGAAGGCCGGCACGGAATACGAGGAGGCCGGTGGCCAGCGCCACACCTGGCCACCTTTCTCGTTGTGAAGCACCTGATGATAATACATGATATTGTGCTTCAGACCATCACGATTAAGCATGGTCAAACAACCCCCAAGGGACTGTAAGTAATCATGGTAGCACAGAAACTATCAGAAATAATCAAGAAAACTGCATTTTATTTTAAAACCTCTCAAGATGTTGCCCGCCAACACTCTGCTGATACACATTGATCTGATTTGTCAACGAAGGTGATAAAATAAGGTAAAGAGGGGAGGGTTGTTAGATCTCATGAGGTGTCTATAAACCTATCACCAGGGCCATCCATTGGGCAGGGGAGGGGGGGTGTACAGGGCCTGGGGAAAATCACACCGTATGGGCCCACCCAACACCTTCAAACTTACCTTTCCTATACTTAGCACTCCTATCGTGATTTTGTACTGTTTTGTTGTTGTAAACGTTCTCACCCGCCCCTATCGATTAGCACGTTTGACTATGTATGGTGTGAAAGAAATTCAACATACATTACTGGACATCTGTGAAACACAGCTTCAGACCTCATTGGATGTACTCCAGTATACTTCATGATTCTGTCTTCATTGGTTCTTTCGGTAAAGTCACGTAGAATGGAAATAAAAAAATAATAAAAATAAAACATTTTTTATTTTATTATTTCCATTCTACGTGACTTTACCGAAAGAACCAAGAAGATGAATCCCTGCAGTCACGAAAGCTTTAAATCGAAATTTAAAGATTCTGATTATGAAACTAAACCGGAAGTGTGACATCTGACACCGTGACGACGAAGCGTGGGGACCCATCCGCCCCTCCAAAGTGCAGGGCCCAGGGCAGTCTACCCGACACCCCGCGGGGACGCCCCTGCCTCTCACTCTGCATTGCGCTTAAGATCCGTCGATCGGGTGCAGGTGACCCACCTGAACGTTTTCACCTCTGACATTGAGTGCAACGTGCATGTCAACTAGGGTGTGGTTGGAGATGCAGGTATACCGGGAGAACCAGGACCAAAAGGACAACCGGTGAGTAAGACACCAGCAATGTGAACCCCGCCGTAGTGCCGCGTTCCACCGTTGACGAGTATGGGACAGTGCATACATTATCAGAGTTGTGTGTTTTTTGTTTGCATTATGACTGCAGGTATTGTGGTCTATGCAAACATGACTCCTTGTAAAAAAAAGGTGTCAGTTTTGTTGCCAGATAGAAGGGTAAAAAACCAATTATCATATTTTTTACTGGCAAATGAGGTTCCAATGGTGAGTACGGGGGGTTAGCTCTACCTCCTGTGGGTGATGTGATGGGCACAGATTGGACGTGGTTCTGTTTTTGGGGAGGTGGCACCAGGTTCATTTGAATCCCGTCAGATTTTGCACATCTGTGTTTTAATCTTACCAAGATTTTAATCTTACCAAGATTACTTTAAATAGCTGAGATTCTATTGCCTGCATTGACGGTCCATCACCTCCCAGCTGAGGTCCTTACCCGTACCCGGTCGCACCAGGGTCGCAAATGGGTACCCGTACCCGGCCGGGTACGGGTAACCGTTCCCTACCCGTACCCGTACCCTACCCGAAATGAGTGACAAACGGTTACTCACCAGTGACTCACGGCCTACCCGTACCCGGCCGCACCAGGGTCGCAAACGGCTACCCGTATCCGTACCCGGCCGGGTACGGGTAGCCGGGTATCGGGTACCCGGTTGCGACCTCTGCCTCCCACTTCCCGCGGCTCCAATTAGCACGGTTGGTTATGTACGGTGCGAAAGAAGTTCATTATACATACATCACGGGAGGTAGGGTTGATACCAAAAAGCAATTATTAAAACCATATATTGGAAGCGATATTGACATTGCATTGATAACATATTTGCTCAACTTGTGTTAAAAATAACATCCTGTGTTTTTAGCTGTAAATGTGATTTAATGTTGCTATTATCACGCAAACAGACAGTGGAATTTCACCTTGTGTCATTTTAAACGAATTAACCTTACTTTTCTGCCACGTCCGTGACAAATTAACATTGACGCGAATTGTTGTGTTGATTAGGGTTTGCCAGGACCAATTGGACCAAACGGAGTTAAAGGGAAAAAGGTAACAATGCTTTCATTTATTACGTGTATTAAAACTGTCAGTATCATATTATTAGACGAACTTTAGACTTGTTTTCATTGGCCAATGTGTTTTCTCAGCATATATAGTATGTGTTTAGTTATTTTGTCTATTGAAGCATCGTGACATTTCCCACAAATGTGGTATTGCATGTGACCTGTACATTTTATTATTTCGTATAATTAAATTATGTATTAGTTCTTTGTTTTGCACCTTAGAAACAACACAGCATGGCCAAAAATTGCCACTTGGGAAAATGTCAGTGGAAACTCCACAATGCATACGGAAAGACATGAATGATACCAGTGTCACATTCAGGTCTAATTGTTGTAGCAGGTGGAATTGTGAGGGTGTTTTGTCGTCAATGCAGACTTCTCCGCGGTGTTGAATCACGCATGCCTTCTTGCCATTGCAGAGCATCAGGGGTGACCCAGGCATTCCAGGAATAGACGGAACTCATGGATTTGACGTAAGTTAATGTGACTTCATTATTAATTCTTATTTACGTTATGTCATTCTCTAAGCTTGCCTTTGCACTGTTGTCAGTACTATGCAAGTAGATACTATGTGTATTTTTTGACAAATTAGTTGATGATACACAGACGATTTATTTTGTGATACTTATTTGATGTGAAGAAAAGCCATTGCCTGAAATGTCACCTGTTATATATTTTTTTTCTTAAAGAAAACAGTGTTGTTGACGTATGTGTTGAGATTGTGTAGATATTTAGAGGTTGTCTTTTATCATAAACCTCATGTTGAAATTAGTAACTTCATTGATTTGTAATTACAGCACAGATTTGTGATTAACTTTACCAGCCAAGTTCATGGTCTCTATTCATTCCCACCCTCTTGCCCTCTCTTCCTCTCCTTATGCCCCTTCATTCCCACATGTTTCTTCCATCACAACCGTTTCCATTATGAGCGTCAATAATGTATGTATGTACGTTGGTCTTCTTTCGCACCGTACGTAACCAACCGTGCTAATCGGAGGTACATTTTCACTCCGCCCTCTCTTCCGCCCCTATTGCCCTTCCCACCCTGTCCCCTCTTCCGTTCCCTTATCTCCCTCCCCTGGACTTTGCTTTGTCTCACCCTTTGCCGACATTGCAGGGTGAGCAGGGGGACATGGGCCGCCCTGGCTCAACTGGACCTGCCGGTGCCAAGGTCTGAACAAGTGGCGGTGCAGCCTTTTCTCTCCATGTCTATCTCTCTCTCTCTTTGTAACCACCACCACCACCGATTGTGCCTCGTTCAGCCACATCCCTTATAAAGTGTCTCTCAGTTTGAGCTCCTTATCATCAGAAAAAAAAATTCAACTAGAACTATTCATCTTCTTGGTTCTTTCGGTAAAGTCACGTGACTTTACCGAAAGAACCAAGAAGATGAATCCCTGCAGTCACGAAAGCTTTAAATCGAAATAGTACTATTCAACTAAACGATTGTTATTTAAGGCCAGCTAAGGCCCACTGAGCTATATATATTTTTTTCAGAAACGACCTGGTCACAAATGATAGATAAAAAAAGTGGCTTATTGTGTGGAAACATGCAAACTCTAAATGTACAGGCATCAGGGTCGGGATTGAACCCACGGCCTCCTGTATACCTGGCGAGGTAGTTAACATCTCGCCACAGCGGTGCCCCTAGGTACATAAATAATATAACATTGACTTACATGCCTTAAATGGGTTGTATACTGTAAGTAATAGGGGAGTGTGGATGCATTCATACATTCACATAGATTCTCATGCTCAAAAATAGCATCAACCATGATCAATCCACTGCTGGATGAAGGCCTCCCCAAGCCACCGCCATTTCTTACGGTGCCGCAATGCAACAATCCACCTTGGCACCTGCACACGAGGAGTTGAGTTCCTCGCTCCATCTCCTCGGTGGTTCCGTCCTCAAGACGTGTTCCATTCCTCGTCTCTCACACACGCTCACAATGTGTGCAACTGGTTTCACGCGTTTGAATCGACTGTTTATGATTTGTGCGAATGGCATGCTGTTATATTCAGGCTAACGGAGAGACCCAGAAGGTACGGGATGAGGCAGAACATTTTTATTTTGCAAAAAACAAATGAAACGAGTGAAATGGGACAAAGCTAACAAAAAATGTCGCCGGATTGTGCCCATGCATCAAGTCACCGATTTGTTACGCACCTCACAATTTGCACGTAACTTCTACTTGTTTTCCTACAGGGTGAAAAGGGCCATGTGGGCATTCCTGGGGCTCAGGGACCACAAGGAAAACTTGTACGTGTCAACAGATGATATTTTTCACACGCAGCACATATATATTAACCTCGATCAAACAACATCGCTACGACGATATCACCGTTCACGCGCAACGTTTAAAAATCATCGTCGACATGTCAACACGCTGAACACCGCTGTCCTGCCACCCCACACTGGACATCTGTGTGAAAAATAGCTTCACAGCTCATCGGATTCCTCCTCCTCTTCCAGCAGCCTAAATAAAGATTCTGATTCTGTGTGCGTCCCCCCCCCCTCCCGCCAGGGAATAAATGGCGAACGAGGAGAGGCCGGACTCCCGGGACGCACTGGGGCCTACGGCTACCCTGGCATACCCGTGAGCTCCTCCTGAAAGCCCTGTGACACGAACAAAGCACGCGCACTCCTCCGCCCATCTTGCTCTCTACATCCCGCGAAGCCGTCTGCTGCTGCTGCTGTTACACTCGTCCCGGATCAAAAGTTTTGCTCGATAAAAAACGACCTTTGCCCTCAAGATGCAACCTCGCCTCCACCCAGGAGACGTTTTAACTCTTTGACTTTTATTGGCCTTCAAAGGCACTTTGTGCTCATAAACCACAATTTGCATTACAACTGTGTAGACTTTCCCGATTCCACTGTAGAGCTCTCCCCGATGTGTTTTTTTCAGGTCGTACCGCGTGTCGTTCGGCACGATGTCCGGCGATTCACCACGCGTGTTGTGAGCCTTCTTATTGAGCTGAATTTAAGCAGCTTCCAGCACGTGGCGCAAAACGCCGGAGGTCGTGCCAAACGTCCCGCGTTGTAGCTGGAAAAGACATTGAAGAACTATATCAAAAAATATATATATATGCGATTCATTGTTGACCTTGTGTCAAGGAGTTTTAATTGTGGAGTCTAGATGTCTTCATTTCTCATACCGAGTCGTAAGGTTCCAACTGTTTTAACTCAGAAATATCTTCTGGCCACGTTCGGCGTTTTCGACGGCAACGCATCCTTCTATCAACGCTGATAAGGAAGCCAGCCACTGACCAAATCCCAAGGAATTCACCTGCTTCCGTCACACCTCAGAAGCTAACCGAGTTTTGAGCCTTCAGAGTGCTCAAATGGGTGACTACCCGGGCACGAAACACAGGTGTTATAGGCCTTGTGGGCAGCAGCAGCAGCAGCAAAATCCACAGCCGTTCTAAACCCCACTAACCCGCTCTGACATGACGCGGTGGAGTATGTTCAAATAACCCTCACTGCCCCGCACGGCGAGGACCACGACCACCGACCGCATGCCTCGCAACGACCGTGTTAAAGCGAACGCTCAGAATGGAACGTGCATTGCTGTTTCTCAGCAGGCGTTGCTTGCCGGGTAGATTTCGTTTTGCTCTGCAGGTGTAGCCGTCAGCGCCGGCTTTGCTGTGCATGCTCAATGACTCATCCCGTTTTGCATCTACAGGGCGACATTGGAGAGGCTGGAAAGCAAGGACCCAAGGTGAGACTCTCGTTTCTCTACGGTCGTTAGTGCGGGAATGGAAAGCAAATAGTGTAGTGCAAATATTGTTGAAAGGTGTCTGTGTGTGTGTAGAGAGAGAGAGGGGGGGGGGAGCGGTGGTGTAGCGGTTGGCGACCCCAGTTCGATTCCCGCTCACGGCCAACACCGGGTTCACAAATATCTGAACTGGTCCTGGGCCTCCCCTAGGTCGACTCAGCCTCAAATCAGTACCCGGTGTGGTGTGTAAAAACATTGTGGTGTTGGCCACCCACCCAATCGTGTGCTGTGCTGGCCTTCGTAGGTGCTCGCTAACAGCACTTGCCCCACCCCGACAGTCTGTTAAGGTTCTATGGGGGATCTTTGTCTTGTAGAGATAAAGTATAAAAGGGTCAGCAAAATGTTCAGTGGACATTCCCTCTACAAAGCATTAATTTGGAGGGTATTAAATAACCGATAGTGTGAAGATTGACCTCTCCATCGAGCAACTCTCTACGCCGATGGTTGTGATTATGCCAAACGTGGCATTTGCAAATCTTCAAGAGATTGCATCCGTAAGATAACCTTTAAACGTGGCACATAATGCTGCAGTGATTACAATCTATTCTCATGTTCATTATACACCAATACCATGCCGGTAATAATACACAACCCTTTAACATATTACAGTTGCTGTTGTATGCATATGCTATACAGAGCGAGGTATCCATGAAAGTATTATCCATTGTTAAATAATCATAACCAAACAGCAGAATGAACTCGGCCAATGCAACTAAACGCGCAGACACACACACACACACTTTGTGGTATGAAGATTATGCGCGTGAGTCTCGCCCCGTGAGTGAAACACGACTCACGAAGGCTAGAGAGGGTTCCCCCCCCCCACCTCCCAGTGCCAAATGCTTTCAAGCTATCAATTCCGCTTCAGTGATTTTGCACCTGCTCTATTACTATAGTACTATATCGCCTTCAACTTTTATGAACGACTGGATGTTTAAGGTTAGCGATTTGTCGTATTATCTGGCTGTATAGCAAATGAAAAAATACAATTACTTTACTATGCAAGTAAAAAAATTACGTGTTTTAATATTTACGTGTTTTTTTTTTATTTAGGGCCGCTTTATAACATATCTGCTACAGGCCCCGCACTAGCTTAGCCCGGCACTGCCCCCCCCCCCCCCCCCCGTGTTAATCCGCGTCTTGGGTGTCCGCACCTCGGAGTCTCGCAGGTCGCCTGTGAGAGTGGAGCGTCGTGCGTGTTCTACGCATCACATCGCCACTTGCATCCTTCTAAACGCTTCTGTTATGCGCCATTGGAAGATCACTCGAGATGCGTTTGTTTATTTTTTTTTAGGAAACACCTTCGCCTCGGCTACCGTGATCCCAACATTGAATCCACGCAGGGAAGGCTGCTGTCTAAATATAATCACGTCGCGATAGATGATACCTTGACGTGTTGCGCGTGACGGAGTCTGGTAAACTTGGTAAACGTTGACAACGGCACCAATTTTTTTTGCCACTTTTAGGGTGGCATCGGCCCAGACGGACTTCCAGGACACGTTGGGACTAAGGTAACTTGCTCCATAAACAGGTACTTTAAATGATATATATATTTTTTCTTTTCAATTCGGGCTATAATTGTGGAACATTTCTTAGAAGAGCGTACGCGATTGAGCACAACAAAGCCCTCGTGTTCTACCGGCAACTGCCGCTTCCGTCGTATGGAATTAGCGACGTTTAGAAGGGTGGATCAAGTTCACGTATCCAGTCAAGAATATCCCTGCATATGCTTCCTCCCCGCGGGGCGAGACATGCTCGTGGGGTCATTTCCATAGCGGAGTGATTTGATTTAATCAGAATCCATTTTCCGGTCGTTAGCGCATCCCGAATGAGCCATTTGGCATTTAACTGTTTAATTAAATTATATCATTGAGCAGATGGTTTGATGCGGCTCGACAGCAGCGGTGTAACAGCTCTGGAGAAGAGTACACACGAGGGGCCGATAGACCACGTGAATCGTCGTCGCTCGGGCTATGAGAACTTTGCTAACCGGATGGTTGCGCGTGTCTGTGTGCGCGTGTGCGTGTGTGTGTGTGCGTGTGTGTGTGTGCGTGTGTGTGCGTGTGTGTGCGTGTGTGTGTGTGTGTCTGTGTGTGCGTGTGTGTGTCTGTGTGTGCGTGTGTGCGTCTGTGTGTGCGTGTGTGCGTGTGCGTGTGCCCGCGTCGGCATTTTTTCACAATCGCTTGACTCGACAGGGCGTCAAAGGCGTGAAGGGGAAGGATGGGCAGGTAAGGTGATGGAGCGGCTGCTTTCCTGACACTGCCTTTGACGAAACGTCCGCTGCCACCGCTGGCGCGTGCGGCGCTGCTCCGACTCACACTCGATGATTTCTGTTGGTCACCTCCTCGTCAATCCTTTGCCACTGCCACCGTAGTCATTGCCACGAGCTGGAAAGCTTGGATGGATGCACGTTGAACCTCTTTCGCACCGTACGTAGCCGACCGTGCTGATCGGAGGTGCGGGAGAAGGACAACAAACCAAACACAAAAGGGAGTTCTGAAGAAATTGGTTTTCAATATAGATATGAAGCTTGACACGGACACCAATTTGCATTATAGCTCTACATTTCCTCCTTGCTTCGTATTGCACACCTTTGGAATTCCTTCCCATCGTCTCCTATCCTAAGTTTCGCAACCTGTGCTCAATTCAATAAACGTATTGTCATTGGCTACACTATCGCCATTGTTCTCTGTTTGCTGACCACTCCGTGTCAATGGCCTTTGACCTGTGTTGAGACAATGTGACAAAACAATGAGATCTACACTCTTGTATTTGTACACTGAATGTACACGTGTGTGCTTGATTGTGTGTTTTGTGCACAACGAAACGAGCGATTCCTGCTCACAGCCACAACCAGTGACGATTATCTGATTATCTGAACCAGTATTGGGCCTTCCCTAGGTCGACTCAGCCTCAAATGAGTTACCTGGTGTGGTGTGTAAACATCGCCACTAGGGAGACAAATGCGGTCGGGCGTGGTGCTGGCCACCCACCCCCTCTTGTGCCGTGCCGACCTTCATAGATGCTACTCAATAACAGCACTTGCCCCAACAGTCTGCTAAGGCTACACGGGGGATCTTCGTCCTGTGTCTGCTTGTAGGAAGGAAGCCAGGGAGACGTGGGTCCCATGGGCCACCCCGGCCATAGAGGATTCCCCGGGGCTCATGGGGGACAGGGCAAGGTGGGAATCAAGGGGGGCATTGGGGAGGCAGGCGTTCCCGGCTACAGCGGATCACCGGGCCGTCAGGTACGCTCGCACAACTCAATGCACACAACATTGTTATACGGTGATTTTTCTGGAAGACTTTGCTGTTTTTTCCAGGATTTTTCTGTTGCGCGTAGTCACTTGAAGATGTTTCTTGTTCATGTTTTTGTTTGTCGCGGTTGCACCCGATTCAAGAGCCGAATGGCTCACAGGGCTAAACCTAATAACTGCACTGAACTGAACACTTAACGTGGCCCATTGGGTTTGCGATTGCTGCAATCGTCGTCACTTATAATGGAGTGGCATTTTGAAGCAATTCCGCGGGCAAGTTTATTCAATCCTCTAGCCATCTGTTCACCCAGCAGCGCAAGTGGGCTCACCAAAGTTAGCCGATCGGCAGGTCGCGTGCGGTGAGGCAAAGAGTGGGCGCTCACGTCCCTTCCAACGTGTCTGGCCGGCGTGGAAGAGGAGGCCAAACTACCCTCGAGTGGGGCTCTCTTGAGCTCCCTCTGTCTAGTGGGAGCCATTCTGCCAGCAGTGAGCAAGCAATTGCAGGGCTGCACCCGTAGCATTGAGTCCAATTACCATTGCATCTAAAAGCCTTTATTGCCATTTTTTGCAGCCGAAAAACAGATGAAAGGACCGTGCATCAATATTAGACACACGATGTCAGAAGGGTTTTTTTTTATTATTATTGCGTGCAAATATTTAATCTCTCCGTAATCAGCAATGACCTTTCAGCAATGATCTTTCAGCAGTGAAGCTGCCTTTGGCTTTGCACGAGCAATTGAAGCCACCAACGAGTATCTAACGAAGCGGGACGTTCCGCGCCCTCGCACGCAAAAACACAGGGCCTGCCGCTGGCAGGGGCGCACGTGATAGAAGTCTGCAAGCGTCTGGTGCTGGAGCAGATGTCGCTGTACAGCAACGCCATGCGCAGGAAGTGCGGCAGCGCCTGCCCGAGCGGGGAGAGCGCCGTCCTGGGGCCACCTGGGCCTCAAGGCATGCGGGGTCTACCAGGACCAGTGGTAACGTCGCACACGCCTCCGCTCACCGTCGCTCCGTCCTCCGCACAAATACTAAGATCCCCCGTATAGCCTTAACAGACTGTTGGGGCAAGTGCCGTTCACGAGCACCGGCACGGCACACGAGGGGGTGAGTGGCCTGCACCACGCCCGACCGCCTGGTACCCATTTGAGGCTGAGTCGACCTAGGGGTGACCCAGGGCCAAGTTCAGATAATCGTCACTGGTGTTGGCCGTGAGAGCGAATCGAACTCGGGTCACCAGCTTCGTAGTGCGGCATGCTAACCGCTAGACTACTGCTCCCCACTATACACACACACGGGCCCTGCATGTATCTCTACCTGCCGTGCTGTGAAGATTATCGTCGTTTGTTTTGATGTCTACTCTGACAGCTCGATCTCGGCGGGGGGAACCGTGGGTTGAACTTGTTTCCTCGTGCAAGTATCTCGGCGCGTAGCTTGATTCGCATATCAGCTTCAACCGCATTTTATTAAAATTTATGAAATAAAGATAGGATAGATTGTTATATCATATATTTTTTATTGTTTCTCATTTTCTCTCTGTTACATCACTAGCCTTGCTGAAAAATTGCCAAATCACTTGGACAAACGGCACCAGATCAGTTCTCACGTGCACAACTCGACGTATGCACAAGAATGGATTCTAATCTGTGAATTGTGACAAGTCCTTTAAGAGCCAGTGAAAGCACCAGCGGTCCAGTCGTGTCCATTGACGCGGGCACCGTGTAATGTGTGAATTGTCTTTGCAGGGTTCTGTGGGTGCCCCAGGTCAGGATGGAGAAGCCGGCTTGCTTGGCGACCACGGGGAGCCAGGGGACAAGGGATCCAAGGGCCCTACAGGTAGGCACCTCGACAGCAGAGGTCGCAACCGGGTACCCGATACCCGTACCCTGCCCGATAACCGGCTACCCGTACCCGGCCGGGTACGGGTACAAGTACCCGTTTGCAAAGGTGTGGACTCGAGTCATGTGACTTGGACTCGAGTCAGACTCGAGTCATGAATTTGATGACTTCAGACTCGACTTGGACTTGCATAACAATGACTTTGTCCCACCTCTGAGGTGTGGACTCGAGTCATGTGACTTGGACTCGAGTCAGACTCGAGTCATGAATTTGATGACTTGAGACTCGACTTGGACTTGCATAACAATGACTTTGTCCCACCTCTGAGGTGTGGACTCGAGTCATGTGACTTGGACTCGAGTCAGACTCGAGTCATGAATTTGATGACTTGAGACTCGACTTGGACTTGCATAACAATGACTTTGTCCCACCTCTGAGGTGTGGACTCGAGTCATGTGACTTGGACTCGAGTCAGACTCGAGTCATGAATTTGATGACTTGAGACTCGACTTGGACTTGCATAACAATGACTTTGTCCCACCTCTGAGGTGTGGACTCGAGTCATGTGACTTGGACTCGAGTCAGACTCGAGTCATGAATTTGATGACTTCAGACTCGACTTGGACTTGCATAACAATGACTTTGTCCCACCTCTGCCCGTTTGTGACCCTGGTGCGGCCGGGTACGGATACGGGTAGGACGTGAGTCACTGGTGAATAACCGTTTGTCACTCATTTCCCAACGTCTTGTCTCTTCTCACAATTCAAGTTCCTAGAATCAACCCACCCGCGTCTGCAACATGGCTTCATCCCAGAGATCGCAATCGGGTACCCGTCCCCGTACCCTACATGATACCCGGCCAGATACGGGTAGCCGGGTATCGGTTACGGGTACCCGTTTGCGACCCTGGTGCGGCCGGGTACGGGTAAGGAATCAAAACCCGTTTGCGACCTCTGCTCTACAGTTGACGCGGCGTGCTTCTGCGCACTACGGAAGTAGGAAATGCCGGTGTCAAACATCTTATCCAACTGGTCTTGGTAGTGGGCTAAAACGTCTTGCCATCTTTCTCAGGGATTGAGACAATGTCCCTTCTTCTTTATGGGCCTTTTTGTCCAATCACGGTGGGTCGAGGAGTAGCACATGATGGATTAAACATTTGTCAGACAGAGCATTGATGAGCTCAGATCTGGAGGCAAGTTGTCATCAACTAAAGTCAGAGAACCACTAAATATCATCACAAAAATCCTCATAATCTAATCGTACTATATGCATAATGGAACAGAGAAGTTTCATTTAAGCTTCCTCAAATAATAAAATGCATAACTCAAAAGGTGATAACACGGAACCATTTTTAAGATACCTTAATTGTCTATTCGCTACACTAGCTGGTGCACCTCTTGCATTTATCAAACCGATATTATTCTGTAGTAGTAGGTTTTTACCCTTTTAAACTGGTACAAAACTGACACCTTTATTCAAGGCATCATGTTTGCAATAACCACAACACAAGTAGTCAAAAAAGCAAACAAAAAGAAGCAACTCTGATAATGATAATAATATGCACTGTCCTTGAAGTTGATTGGTCCACACCCGAGACGGCTTTCTTTAGAGCCTAGTCCCCATTGGTGTTGGACCAGATGACACCAGAAGGCGTATAACTCAAACACAGTGCAATATCAGAGTATTGAGAGCTCGGGGTAAGCATTTACACTATGAGATCTCTTTTACCAGTGGCAAAATATAGTAGTAGGTTTTTACCCTTTTTTTGGCCTGCTGCTGAGGCAGACTGTTTTAAAGGGTTTGAAATGGGTGTAGCCCAAGGGTCATAAAAAACCGATATTAGTTTTAATGCTCAAATCGGAATTAAGTGCAAACTAAATCTAATGCGACGGGTTTTATTGTGGTTACCAGTGACCAAGTTGAGCCTCCAATTAAGAGCTTTACAGCTCATCGGATTCCTGCACTATGAATAAATATTCTGATTCTGAGAACGCGGCTTGAATCACACCTTGTGTTCTGAGCCAGTGCGTAGGCACCACATTGGCCATCTGAGGCTCACGGCTGCCAGAAATCCAACCTCTGCTTTTCGAAGCCTCGATCTGAAGCTCACGTATCACGGGGCGCTTGAATTGCCCGCATCTGAGCCATACCATTGCCCTGAGGAAGTTTAGCTGGCGTAGGGGACACCAACGGCGACGCAAGGTGGATGCGGCAACCGCCTGCACATGGTCTGCGGTCTGCCAGTTGGCGGTGATGTTACGTGGTTTTCCCATATTAGTAATTCTCAAATGTCCTTGGCACACATGGCCTCTTTTTCGAAGTAACGTCACGACATTTTCGGTGTTCAGTCTGGAAGTGGGCAGCGTATATTTTTCGGTTAAATCACCGGCAGTATAAACTCTCTGAATGGCACAGAACAAAACCATGGCTCTTGCAAGGGAGAAATCAAATGCATATAAATGCATCATTGACATGTAGAATTATTTTATTATGTTTTATTTTTAGTATTTTATTATTTCTCTTCTACGTGACTTTACCGAAAGAACCAAGAAGATGAATCCCTGCAGTCACGAAAGCTTTCAATCGAAATGTAGAATACATATCGCGCCTATATACCAGGGTATGATTAGCTCATCCTTGCAGTAGAGGCTAAGGAGAAGTCAACGCCCTAATCAATTGTAAGGGATTGGTGACTCACGGCTGACGTGTATTGTGCAGGAGAGACTGGAGATCAAGGTGATTTTGGAGCCACTGGAGCATCTCTGATGGGACTCAATGGACCTCCCGGGCCACCAGGTATGAATCTCTGCACGTGGCTGTGTTCCACTGCGTATGGGTTTTTTTTGGGGCGGTTGTGCTGCGTGGCTCCCCGATCTGTCACTGGCTCTACCGTGTGTGATGTTCGCCACGGTCCGACGAGTTGCTCCGTTTATTGGGAACTTTTTCATGACGTTCAGGAACTGCAAAAGCTCTCAGCAAATGCCCAACTCGTGATTAATTTTGTCTTCGGGTCAGGTCGTCTCAGTAGAATGTGTGGTAAACATCCTCCTCCACCTGACACAGCCAATTCATAAAGTCACGCGGACAAATGAGGCAACGTATTACTGCTGAAGCAACAGCAGCAGCACGGTTGTGGTGGAGAGTAATCCACAACACAAAACAAAACGTCCGGTTGCCCAATTGTTCATTGTTGTGAATTGCTCTTTAAGACACTAGCGGTGCAACTGAATAATTTTATTCGTGCGATGTGACCCCAAAAAAAATCTATTGAGAATCATAACATCGGTCGCAAAAGCCTACGTGTTCAATAGCTGACTATTGCACTGATACGTGGGTAACTATAGCTTCCCCTCCCTCCTACTATGGGCGCCACAGTGGCAAGATGTTAAATACCTTGCCTGGTATACAGGAAGTCGTGCGTTCGATCCCGACCCTAACGCATGTATATTTGGAGTTTGCATGTTCTCCCCGTGGTCACGTGGATTCTTCTCCGGGTCCGCCAGGTTTTTCTCTCCACACTTAGAATCAGATGCGTCAAGCTTATTTGGATGCTATACATTTCCACGTGATACTCCACTTTGTTGAGCTATCATTTGTGATAGCCAGGTCGCTTCTGAAAAAAAGAGCTCTAGACAGTAGCTCAGTGAGCTTTACCCGGTCCAGTAAAAAATAGTTTTAGTTCAGTTTTACAATCCCCTCTCGTCCGTTGTCCGACCCCCGCGCGCGCGCGCAAGGTGTTCCTGGAGTGCTCGGCTTGATTCGCGACGGGCAGCCCGGCCGCCCCGGACCTCGTGGACACAGGGGCCACGACGGGCAGCGTGGCTACGCCGGCCACATGGGTTCGCCGGGCGTGTGCGACGCCAGCGACTGCAGCCAGCAGGTCTCCCGTAACGGGGTGCCCAACCGCACCGGGCGCAACATCGCCGGCTAGGCAGAGCGTGGCCAGAACACCGAGTGGCAAATGGACCCCGAGGGCAGACAGATCCCGTTTGTTTCGGAGTGGCTCCTCCCTCGTAAGTCGCTACCACTCCAGCCGAGCACAGATTTGAGCGGGTGAAACCTGCAGGTATCAAGTGTGAATTATTGAATACATCTCCGTAGTGTGACCATCTTGGCTTCCTCTTCAAGGAGGGAGGGGGGGGGACGGCTGAATTGTATCCAACCTGGCCTTGGCAAGTGTGCAGGGATTATATGTAATCAATGATTGCATTCAGTGTTATTTGTTTATTTTTGTTTGTTACACAAGCTTACACGTGGCATTGTTTGCCGATGCAAAATTAAGATGTCGATCCTAACAACCTGAATGTGGAAGAACGGTGGATAGTAGAGCAATGTTATACAAATTCACAATTAGTAGTGTGTATGCGTGCGACTGTGTAGATCGTGGCATATATGCAGTCAATCAAGAACAACATCACTCACAGCCACTGTTGGACATGGGTAGCATAACGTCCAGAATAGTTGAGAGCTTGCTGATTGTGATGTGATGAAGTCTAAAGAAGAAATGATGATTGACAGTCAACATTCAATCAAGCCCTCATTATTATATTGCATGCTTTATGCATGGGCCACTGCTCTTTCATGATCATATTTCTGTACTTGTCACCATATTTCTAGAGGAAGAAAAAAACATTCTCTCTTTTCTTCTAAAGTTTTTTCACCCCGACCGTCACAGTAAGTTCAATGCACGCATTAATGTTTCGGTAGCATCACGTGCAGTTATACTCCAGCTGTAAATAACACTTGAAACGAACATAAAATGTGTACAATGTCGGTAAATTAAAAAAAAATATGTTTAATAAAGATATGTACACACAGTGCAATGTGGTTGAGTACTCAACAAATAAAGTATGATTCCATTTTTGTAATTTGGTGTTGGGTTTAAAATGTTGCACGCAAGTTGTACAAACGGACGCGCAATGCAAGCTGAAGTCACCACCGTTCAAAGTTAAGTCGAAGTGATTTCCTGCTCAAATGAGCATTTGACGTGGTGCACATTTCCCGTTTACAGCCCCGAACCAGTGGCGGAAATTCCACATTCCTCGAATGGGCAGGTGGTCATATCCATGGGACAACCACTGTTTGAAATTCTCACAAACGTGGTCATCATTTTTAATCGACTCCGGAACGACGATGGGCTGATCTTCTTGGTTCTTTCGGTAAAGTCACGTAGAAGGGAAGTCATAAAATAATTAAAATAAAACATAATAAAATAAAATAATTCTCACGACGTTTCGGCTACAACGCAAGCAGTCGTCACCCTGAAGACGGATGCTTGCGTTGTAGCCGAAACGTCGTGAGAATTATTTTATTATGTTTTAATTTAATTATTTAATTACTTCCCTTCTACGTGACTTTACCGAAAGAACCAAGAAGATGAATCCCTGCAGTCACGAAAGCTTTAAATCGAGACGATGGGCTGAGTCAACCCTCACCCAGGTTTTGAGTTCACAAACGTCCAATTGCGGGCGACTCGCTCAATCACTGAGCCACCACCTGGCTGGACAGATTTGGTTCAATATATGTACTCTACGGATATTCACTCGACATGAATGGTAGTGCAAAGGTTAGCGCGCTGCGCTACGAACCCGGCTACTCGAGTTCGATTGCCGCTCACGGTCAACACTGGTGACGATTACCTGAACCGGTCCTGGGCCTCCCCTAGGTCGACTCAGTCTCAAATGAGTACCTGGTGGGTTGTGTACACATCACCGCTGGTCTTGGTGTTGGCTATCCACCCCCTCGTGTGCTGTGCCGGGCTTCATAGGTGCTCGCTAACAGCACTTGCCCCTACAGTCTGTTGAGGCTTTACGGGGGATTATTTGTGTACATCAACGCTGCACGGAATACGGTGTGTGCAGTGAATATAATGATGAATTTTACTGTACAGCACTTGTTTAAATGTGAAGCTGAGTGTTCCAAAAGGTACGTTATAGCAGGGCATTTAACATTCTGAGATGCTAGTGTAATAAAAGCCAGAAATGTCAGTCTATGCAAACCGTGGATGTGTGCAGTGGTCCGTGTCATCTATTAACCAAATAAATGTTACCTTGCAAGCAAATTAAACAAATGCGATTTGTCAATGCCAGTGCTTAAACTGAACAGGATAAAACATTTTTACATTGGATAGTTAATGAAGAGAAAATTGAGCATGTATCAAGCCACAAGAGTCATTTCACAAACATCTACATAAATAAATGCCATGTCAGTACAATTCATATCTCACTAGCGGCCCAAATGGAAAATGCCACAGTTGAGGTTTAACATAAAATTATCCAAATAAGCATAACAAATGTAAAAATAAAGTTTTTTTTTTTTACTTCCAAAAATCGCAAACAGTTCTTATTCAAAACACATAGGCTGTGTGTCTCGGTCTCTCATGATTTTATGTTAATTTAAAGTTACGACCCAGTGCGCAATCATAGCACTCTAATGACATTGTTACGAGATCATCATCATCTTCACGATCCATGGGCAGATAGCCCCGTAGGTGTCCACTGCACATTTCGTCAATGTGTTTCCACTTTCCTCTCCGTCTTGTGCCAATATGTTCAAATAGGGGCACATCTTTCTGGCACCAATCTCGTATGTCGCCAAGGCATTCTCTCTCCTCTCCGGTTCCTTCCATTTTTCCAAACAGCAAGACACTTTAAATGTTCCTGTTGGTGTCCATCCTACATGTGTCCTATTAAATAGTGCCAGTTTCCTCCTCATCACTGCCTGCATCGTCAGGTTGTCTTCTTCTACGTGCGACCTTTTTCTTACTTCTACGTTGGTCACTCTTTGGCTCAAGTTTACATTTTTAGCAAACCAGTGAATGTAGCGATTTTGAATTTCAATTTAAAGCTTTCGTGACTGCAGGGATTCGTATTCTTGGATCTTTCGGTAAAGTCACGTAGAAGGGAAATAATAAAATAATAAAAATAAAATCAAACATAACATTTTTTATGTTTTTATTATTTCCCTTCTACGTGACTTTACCGAAAGATCCAAGAATATGAATGTAGCGATCTCACTCAAAAGACGCAACGATAAGTGCAAATAGGGACGTGCATAGAACCAAGGCACGTGGCATCCGGACAACAGGCACCACAACACGCGTTGTCATTCGTTATGATCAAACGAAATGACAAAAAATCAATACAAACGAAAGGAAGAGAGAGGTGAGAACATGAAAAGACTTTAAATAACGTAGGTTTTCGTGAGCACGAAAATGCAGGGAAAGGACAATAAATGAAGAGCGATGAGCGGTAAGTTTCGGGTGCGGAAAGAGAGTCAAACGCGTCGACAAAAGGGGAACGACTCAACAGGCCCCAAGATGTTCAAGAGTGGATTTCTCGTGCGTCAGCTTTCAGCCAGTGCTCAAATATTGCAGCGCACGTGACCGCAACTGTTGAAAGATTTTCTCACCGACGGAGCCTTGGACTGGTGTCGAACCTGGTATACGAGAGGCTGTGCGTGTCACTACATGAGCTGATCTGCTGTGATTGTGTTTTTTGTGACCACATCTTGATTCAATGCCTCCCTATCAAACATGGAACGTTGGATAAGCATTGGGCCAACGTTGATCCAACGGTTGCAACGAAATGTTAACGTTGGTCTAACATTGGCAAGTTGACTGAGATGTTACTTCAATGGTAATCATTAACACAGTGATGTTTTATAATACTACTTAAAGTATAATGGGTGCCGCGGTAGCGAGATGTTATCTGCTTCGTGTGGTATGCAGGAGGTCATGCGTTCGATCCCAATACTGACGCCTGTATATTTGGAGTTTGCATGTTCTCCCTGTGGTGTCGTGGATTTTTCTCTGGGTCCTCTGCTTTTTCCCTCCACATTTAGAATCAACATGCGTTTATTGTATTTGGATGCTATACATATCCACGTGATAAACCACTTCGTTGAGCTATCATTTGTGGCCAGGTTGCTTACAAAAAAGAGCTATGTAGCTCAGTGGGCCTTACCTGGTAAATAAAACTAGTTCATATTTATTTAATATTTTACATCGGGAGTTAAAACATAGGTGTGTAAATGTGGTGCAATGCTCGAATTAATGTTCAACCTCTGTTTATGAACCTACATTTCCACTTTTGCACTTTGGACTTCCGAAAGTGCTACCAGTAGAGCCTTGCCACGTGAAGGAGTTAAAGACGTTCCTAGATTTTGTTGGGAGTAACTTTAACCAATAGATATTCAAAAAGACAACTGATACCAAAATGGTTGCGACGTTGAACAGGTAAATTCCCACGACAAATATTAAAAGGGTCTACTCGGTACAGCAGCTAAAACAGTGCCCAACTTTCTTAAACACAGAGTACTCTCACTTTTCATCCCATGGAACATTTAGTTATCAGTCACGAGTGACAACTGGTGGAGTGGTGGTGCTGTGATTAGCACGCTGCGCTATATTTTAAGTGGTGTTGCCAGCTGTAAGCTCTTGATAGAGCACTCCAGGCCATGCTCCCGGGTATTGATTGTTATGTCACTAAACAAACTGCCACATTTTAATATTACTGTACACTACTTAAAGAATATATAACAGGGTACTTGTTTTTTTTTTTACAATCTGAAATGTAATGACGTATTGAAATGGAATTTTGCAATAAAAAAATAACTAGCAGGGTAAAAAAACATCGAAATTGGCGGTGAAAATGAACGATATTAAGAAACATGTCATCCTAACTTTAATGGGAACAGATGACTTTGCACCTTCATTTTAATAATAAAAAGGCACCCTAAAAATGCTTGAGAATGTAAGAATGTCCACATCAACTGTCTATTATTTTTTTCATTGAAAAAAAAAACCCTGCAGACTATAGGCGGAGGGAGGGAGGGGGGGGCCTCCAGTCGCCTCCCTCCTCCCCCTCCATCCCCAAAAAGCTTTTGAACGGCTCTGGTCGGGTGGCTCTGATCTGACAAACGCACGCGACAGGGTCGTGGTTTAGAGGGGCTGGTAACCTGAGCGAAGCACAACAGACAAAGCAGAAGCGGCGGCGGCGGAGAGAGAAGAACCCCCCCAGGTGAAAAGCAGACCAAGCGCGGTGAAGAAAGACAAGAAATTCGAGCAAAATCATCTGGGCCCGCGTCGTAGAGACGCTCTTGTCATTTTATTTGACACCGATATGACGCAATATGGGGCCGTCCATAAATGACGTCACGCACCTACGGGGGGGGGGGGTGGTCAGACATTTGTGACGATGTGTGACGAGGGGGGGGGGGTGAGAATGTGACGTCACGTAAAAATGCGCAACTTTAAATAAATATAGACAGCACGTTCTACTTCATTAAATAGACTTTTTAATAAATGTTTTCTCCTACAACATCAGAGTGCAGCGCCGCATTAAATACGCACTACAATAATTTAAAGCGATTTGAAGCATGTTTTATATATATTTTTTGGGGGGGGTGGGGTAGAGCTTTGTGACGTCATATTTGAGGGGGGGGGGGTCTGACTTTTTGTGACGCCGTGGGACGAGGGGGGGGGGGTATGTCAAAAATCGTCCAAAATCGTGTGACGTCATTTATGGACGGCCCCTATCACCGCGGAATGTTTAAACTGACCCGGCGTTGAACTGGAGTTGTCACAAGCCCTCGGGTGTTATCGATATACAGTCCTTTAGAACGCTGCTGTGTATTTCATCGCAGCTTGACGAGTGCGTGAACTCCTTTTTTTTTGGCAGCCGTCTGTTTCCATGCACCGAATCAATAAAATGCCACGTGGCGTAGAGCTGACGTTCTTTTTTTTTTATGTGCACCGATGAAAAATCCACAGAAAGTCATTAGCACGGTCACATCGTCACCAGTGACATATTTCTCCACTCAT